AATGATGTGTATGACACTTTTTATGATCTTTGATCATTTTGTACAGATAGTTTAGAGTTTTTAAAACCTGAAGATGCACAAAAATGTGCGAAGACGTTTGTTTGAATTTACAATTTTAACGCATTCTCAAAACAAAGTTTTCTGTAACCATGTAATTTTATTTTTTTTAGGCTTTCTTTCAAGTTTTTTTTCTCTTTTTTCAATTTAATTTTTTCAGAACTTAAAGTAAATCACTCAATTTCATTTTTCAGAATGTTTTTGCTAAGTAAGTTTCTTTCTAAGACTGAAATTTTTTTACATATCTAATCAGGATACAGATACAGTTTTAAGTAGTTGCAAGTCATTCTGTTTCTACGAGGTAGCCGTGGTTGCTTCCTATTTCAACGGAGAAGAGCAATAAGTAGGTAGTGACTATAGTAAAAAGCTGAACACAAAAAAAACTATTTTTTTTTACATGTCTTCATCAACTCTGCACAAACGACTAAAAAACTGGATTTCAAGGTTCCATTTGTTTTATCTTAATTTATCTACCTGAGAACTGGACTTTATTGTCCTGTTCTTATCTCTTCTGATTAAAAACTGGACATTGATCTCCCCGTCTAATCTGCCCCAAATAAGAATTGCACTTTGTTGTCCAGGTTTTAGGCTAATTCTATCTCTATTACAAATGCAATTCGGTTTTTGTTCCAAGTATATCACAGCGTTCGCCAAAAAACACCCTAAAAAACTCCAAAAGCCAAAATCCTAAATCTATCCCCTGAATGCAAATGATCATTGACGATGAAGTCAAATAGCAAACCCAAACTTGACTGCGAACCCAAACGCGACCATCTCGTCAGGAAGTCATAGCTACAACAAGTAAATAACTGGATGAACAACTCAATAACCTACAATTACAAATGAAGGTTCTCACTGAAAAAAGAAAACAATCACCGAATTACAAACCGATATTAAAACAATGAAACAAAATCTGGCAGCTTCCGAGTCCGAGCTGAGGTGGGAATTGTAGATCCAGGACGATTTGTCAACTCGCAAAATGCAACAAAAGCAGAACTCGGCAACCGTATACGTGGTTTTACCGAAAGAAAAGAAAAAAATGATATTGAACGAGTGCTACAAGGTTAGGGAACATTTTACAGAATTTTTGCATTCCTTTAAGTTGACGACCGAAAGCTAACTAAGGCCACTTGGATTAGAAATTTCAATCACAATAAATGGTGCCGAAGTTGCGGTCCATGCTGCTCGCTCCTTCTTCGAGTTAGCTTCAGACGATGACGTTTTCCTCAAGTTGGATTTCAGCAATGCTTTCAACACCATGCGTCGTGACAGTATTGCTTTTGCTTTCGAAGAGTTTTGCCCTGAGCTTTTGCCTTTTTTCAACATGTGCTACGAGCGGGAGAGTTTCCTTGTTTATGGTGACCACACTTTGCTATCGAGAGAAGGTTTCCAACAGGGGGACCCAATTGCGTCTTTTGGTTTCTGTCTCGGAGTGCATCGCTGTCTCACTGCAATTTCATCCAAGTTCAAGGTCGGTTACATGGACGACATCAGCGCTGGAGACAAGTGGCAGATAGTTTTGCGTGACCTCGCCAAGTTCATTGACAGTGCCAAAGGTCTCGGGTTAAACCTCAATAACACCAAATGTGAAATCACTGTCTTCACTCAAGACCAGCAAAAGAGCGATATGATTTTACGTGAATTCAGACGTGTCTGTCCTGGTATCAGCAGCGTGAGCACCGAAGACGCTGAACTGCTAGGAAGCCCTCTGGGCCATGCAGCTTTACAGCATGCATTGGAAGAGAAGAGAGAGAAAATCGAAAACCTCTGCAAGAATCTTCCGTTACTGCCTTCACACGTCGCGTTTTTCCTGCTCCGACATTGTTTTGCCATGCCTAAGCTCATGTATTTGTTCCGCACTGCTCCTACTTTTGTTTTTATGAACTCTGTTGAAAAAATCACCTCTTATATCCGTGGAGCTGTTCAAACTGTCAGTAACATTCTGATTACCAACAGAGAATGGGATCAGCTCACATTGCCTATCAAACTCGGTGGTCTAGGCTTACAGTCACCTTCGGACCTTACTTTGGCTGCCTATATTTCGTCTACACTCGCCACCAGTGAAGACGTCTTCAAAGTCATTGCGTCTCAATACACCAGCAAGTCCTTCAAGAATGCCATTGAACTGTGGTCTGAAACTGTTTCTCCTGATATGCCACTGGAAGACAAGCATAAGTGGCAGAAAAGCTGGTACACTCCTATTGTTTCTCGTAGGCGGTCGTCTCTCCTAGCTAACACCACCTGTGACAGTGACAAAGTTCGTTTACAAGGATGCTCTGTTCCCGGTTCCGGAGACTGGCTTGCTGCTATTCCGTCTGATACGCTCGGTCTCCAGCTGACTGATGACGCTTTCAGAATTGCTACGGGACTTCGCCTTGGTGCCCCCCTTCTTTTTTCATGCAACTGTGCATGTGGCACTAAATGCGACAGCCAAGGCATTCATCCACTTATATGCCCGAAAATCAAAAGTCGTTTCATCAGGCATCAACTTGGTAATGAAGTCATCAGAGACGCGTTGAAATCAGCAGGAGTACACAGCAAACTCGAGCCGACCGGTATGCTGCGTGACGATGGTAAAAGACCAGACGGTGCTACTTTAGTTCCATGGAAAAATGGCGCAGCTTTAGTCTGGGACTTTACCTGTGTAAACCGACAAGCACAGTCAAATCTATCAACAGGCCTCGAAGATGGTCCCACTGTTGCTAACCATGCTGAATTTCGTAAGCGCCAACACTATTCTGGTCTGCCACGCAACTGCATGTTCGAGCCCATCGCCGTGGAACATCTTGGTGGCATCGGAAGCTCGACATACAAAACTCTATCCTCTATTTCCTATAGAATCAAGACGACCACTGGTGAGAAAAGGTCATTCACGTTCCTCAAACAAAGACTCGGCATTGCACTGCAACGCGGTAATGCTGCCTGCTTACTGGAAGCTTTAGAAGTTAACTCAACGGGCTATAAGCCAACTGCTTTTTAACCTTTGCTGTTTTTACAACGATTGTTAAATGTTTTAGCCGTCAATGGAATAATTAGCATTTTTTTTACATGAAAAAAAAAAAAAAAAAAAAAAAAATCACAATAAGGGATTCAAACATTGCTGTTCAGCAGCTTCTCGACACAGAGGAATTTTAACAAATATCTGAAAAGTTCAGGGAACTTCGAGTCTTCATCAGCCCCGAAAAACCATCACCCGATTAAAGTAAGATTCAGAAACCAAATGCTAGAAGTGCAGGAGATTATAAAGAGTTTTCAAAAAAATATATAACAAATTTTGAAATCGAACACGATAACGACCAAGCTAACGCCGGTAAAGATGTCAGTACGAAATGACTACAACCGATGAAAATGTTGACCTTCAACACCAGAAGTATCCTGGACATAAACAGAAGATTGAAAATATCAAATGCAATTTCAGAACACAGTATTGTCTGTCTTTGAGAATATCTGGCGCAGTGAAGATGTAACAGAGTCGTTTTTCCTAGAAAACTATCAAGTTAAGCGAATCAGAAAACAGAAGAACAAAGCACGACGGTGTACTCAATGCCATCAAAATAAAATCAAGCAGGATATACATTTCATTCAAAAATTCAAGTCTGATCATCTTAATCATTCCAATTAAATCCTCAAACTAAAAATGGTTGAGCTGTTTTTATAAACTTTTGTCTGTGAAATTTCGCCGATGAGTATTTAATGTTGCCCAGTATTTTATCTATTATATAAGCAAATGCGGGCTTCAGTATCTTGCGGTGTTTAAAATTTTTAAATGTTTAAATTTTGCATGTTTAACAAAAGAATTTTTTCACATTATAGCTATATTCTATATTGCAATGGTTAAGATTTTTTTTCGATTTTCTAGTATTTATTTCAACAAGTTTGAAATTAGCAACCCAATAGGGGATGATGTCAGGGTTTCCCCAGGTTTTGCAATTTTGGCCTCCAATTATGAATAACCAAATTCTTTTAATTTACGAGATACGACAGTTTTCGAGATTTTTCAAAATAATCTAGAATCCTTAAATTCAAAAAATTTCAAAATTTTTGAAATTCTCAACAGGGTACGCTCTGGGGTTGCATCCTGCCTCCAAATCGCAACTCTTAAATCCTTGTAGTTTTTGAGATATGAAGTTTTTTTTATGATTTTGAAGATCTCTTTCCCGTCGTTGGGTTCTGTGAGGGTACCCTCAGGGGTTGCGAATTTTACCTCTGAATATGACTCCTCAAATCCTTGTTGTTTTCGAGATATGGCGTTTTTCAAAAGTTTTAAAAGAATTTAGACATAAAGAATTTCACGAAATTTGAAGTTATTATATCTATAGTGAGGCTCTGTTAGGTTACTCCCAGGAGTTGCGAATTTACCTCCAACACGACTGCTCAAATTTTTTTAGTTTTCGAGATATGACTTTTTTGTGATTTTTTTTTCAAAAAATCATAGAAAACTTAAATTTAGTTTTTTTCTTCAAAATTTGAAATTCCCAAAATCTTTAGTTCAGGGCTGTCAGAGTAGTCTCAGGGGTTGCAAATCTTACCTCCAAATATGAATGTTCTGTTCTTTGTAGTTTCCCAGACATGGAGTTCAAATGCGACTGCTCAATTGCTTTTAGTTTCCGAGATGTGACGTTACTTAATTAATTTTAAAATTTTTGAAGAACTGCATAGAATTTTATGGTTTTTCAAAATTGGAACTTGAAAACTTAAACAAAAAAGTGGGCACAGTCAGAGTATACTCCAAACACTCAAAAGGTAGATCTTATTTCCAATGTATGCGGTTTTTTATGAGTTGTTAAAAATTCGAAGCACCAGATGTGCGTTACACGCTAGTTACATGTGCGTTACACGCTGTAAGACAATGTTCAGATTTCGAGAGAAGAGTTGTTTTTCACAATTTTTTTATGTTTAATCTTATCACTACTTGGTTGTTCATAATCTATATTGATAATTTAAGGGTTGAAATGTAAAGGTTGAAGCATCGATGGCGTCATTTGACGATGATCGAGCGGAAATATTGTCCAATGAAAAGGTAAACTGGTTTTCAAATTGCTCTATCGATAGCTTGCACCAGAAATTGATCATCAAATTGCCTTTCGACTAAAGTCGATTGCTATCGCTCAAAAAAATTTCTTACGTACTTAAATGTTTTTCAGCGGGTAGATTTACTCAGCTATTGTATAGTAACAGTCCTGCTTCGTCCAATATAGGTCTGTAGTTTTTTTTGTGAAGTCATTCAAACGTTTTTCGGCTTCATGGTTTTTCTGCATCCTTTTTCGGGTCTTTTGTACAAATTTTTTTTTCAATGCTACTTCGTAAAGTTTTAAAGTTTTTTTTAATTGTTTTGAATTGACGTGGTTCAAGCTTGTTATTTGAAAATAATAGTATTTTGGCTGTTGCTATATTTTTGTCATCTATTGATTATCTTTTCTCCAAAATCCATTACATTTGTAAGGGCGTTACTCCAAGCTTATAGCCGATATTTAAAACAGGCCCCATTCCGTAAGGTTTTTAAATCTATTTTGTTTCTAGGACTCGCATGGACTTAAAAAGGGGAGTCTTGCAAGTCGTTTGAAGCTTCTGAATGAGTCAAGACAATCATGGCAGGAACGAGTGCGAACAGATGACAAAGACGAAGCGGCAAATCTAACCACTGCTGTGAAAACAGTTCGTCTGAAAGAACGGTATAGTAGATTTAGATTCATTGGATCTTGAAAGCAATTCATTTTCTTGCAAGAGGCGAATCGTTAAGATCCAAAGCTTGTACATGCTTTACCGTTGAATAATTTTTAAGGGTGGTGAAATTCATATGGGCTAGTGAAATTCATATGGGCTAGTTAAAAAGATCCGATCTGTTTATTGGAAGGATATGATATCCTATTTTATAAAGATTTTCGCAGTTTAATAAAACAGGTCTCATAATTTTTGCACTTTCTTGAAATCTTACTTTGAATTAAAGGCTATTAAAACATCAATTATTATTAAGTGAACCTCAAGTGCTCTCGAGGTGTATATATCAGGCTAAAAAGCAATTTATATTTATCAATTCATTGCAATTTTATTTTATATGGTATAGTTGTGAGCATTTAGTTTGCTCGATTGATTTTTACAGTACGATTTTAAGAAAGTTTTTCTAGCTGAATTAATGTGATTTTGTTCAACATGAGTTCTGAACAAGATTATCAAAACTTTATAGGTCAGTTAATCAAACAGTCTGATGGGTTTAGCGAATATAGCTTGAAAGGCTGAAACTGTAGTAGATTTAATCATCGATTTTTAGGGCCAAAAGCGTGTTTATGGAGAGAGATGTTGAGAAAGCAGCAACTGTTGGAGGTCGCAGGACTTCCAAGCTCGTCAGAAGAGGATCTTCATATTCGAAGAAAGAAAGGGAACGAAAATGTAAACTTAACTTGTGATTGCTTAAGATGACAGGCAATTTTTTTTCTTATCCCCACCCGTTAAATACGCTTGCGATTATATATCTTTGACTGTTTTAGTTTAGAAAAAATTGCGTCATAGTGCAAAACATGATTTTCTTATCATCAGATCTGTTTTTACACTTGCGTTTAGCAAGAGTTATCAAATTGGAATATATTTTTTTTCGGGTTGATAGCTTGCTTCAAAAAATCAGTTAAAGCATTTGACAGCTTGGCTATAAAAATGATAAATGTCCTAGATTCTCCGCTCGGGCACAGTTGATACAAAAGTAAAAACTACGCCTGAAACAGGAAGGTTTGAATCTGACCAGGGCCAGTTTTATTTTAAATTGGAAGTATTGGTTCAAAAAATAATCGTCGACCTTTTTTTGGTCTGCTTGTTTTGTCGGCTTAGTTGCCCCATCAATGATTTTTTTTCGTGGTATAAGCTATCTTCATTATGATTGAAAGTGTTTTTCAATTGCTGTAATATGTAAATTTACTGAATCTATGTAAATTTACTGACTTTTTTGTAATTGATTTTTTTGTACTTGTCTGTCTATTTTAAATCTAAATGCGGGCTTCAATATCTCGCCATACTTGAGCCTTGATATTTAACGAAAGAATTTTTTCACGTTTAAGCTAAATCGCATATTGCAATGCTGAAGTTTTGTTTGATTTCAGTGATTATTTCACCAAGTTTGAATTTCGTATTCCAATTGATGGATGCGATCACGGTTCTTCTGGGGTTGCAAACTTGGGCTCAAGTATAAAAACCCAAGTTTTTTAAGTTGTCGAGATAAGACGATTTTGTGATTTTTAAAATATAATTTCACAACATGAAATTCTCAACCCTGTAGTTGGGTGCTCTCGGGGTTTCACAGAGGTTGCAAAGCCAGCCTCAAAATGTAACTGCTCAAGTGGTTTTTGTTTCCTTCCCAGATATGGCGTTTCTTTATTTCATAAATTCAAAATATCAATGCTGTAATTGGGTGCTATCTTTATTTCATAGTTTGAAAATATCAACGCTGTAATTGGGTGTTATCAGGGATTTAGCATAGGTTGCAGATCTTGTTTTCAAATTTGACTGCTCAAAATCATCCTAGATTCCGATATGTGCCGTTTTTTATGATTTGTAAAAAAAAATTCGAAGCACCGGAGGTGCGTTACACGCTAGTTTGATTAAAAGCTTTCTTGCCTGAATTGTTTCGTCTTCTGTTTTTATCAATTTAGTGACCTAATTTTCCGTCTTATGAAGTAAATTAAAGAGTTTCCGCCATTTGTGTCGTTTTGAAGGTTAAATTTTTGAAAAGTTATTTTGACAACAATTTTTCTTTCGGTCAACGAGAGCTCATCCAATTTTTATCGGCCAAGTTGTTGCTCGATAAATGTTTCTATAGACTTATTGAAAGGTGGAGATTGTCTTTCTGGCTAGTTTTTTTTCAATTAGAACTGCATAGGTTTATATCTGTTGTCTGGAATGAGGTTCTATTTGAGAAAAGCACGTCCATAAACACAATCGTAGGGGTAAACATGTATCGAGCGGCAACTAAGCCAACAAAATTTAAAAGCTTTCAACAAGATAATATCATTGTTGTGTTTGTATTGATGAAATTTTAGACACCTGTGTTTGTGGAAAATGGGCGAGTTAAAAATTGTTTTCTCGCGGTTCAAATTTTCTTCAGTTCCCAGTTTATTCCTCAAATAGTACACAAATTTTGCTCTCGAATAACAGAAGTGTAAGTGGCGCCAAAAAATCTTTAACCTAAATTTTGTTGGTTTTATCAAGAAATTGAGAGACGGTTTAATAATGTTTTCTGTGATATATTGTTTTCTGTGAAGCTAATTACTTTTTTCCATACGGTTCCACACTCAATGTCCTGTCAAGACTTTTGGGGTACTCTGAATTGCACAAACCTAGGCAGGGGCGGATTTAGGGGGGGGGGGGACGCCCCACCCCGGGATTCGACCCCATGCCGACCCAAAGGGTCCCCCCTTTGTCCTATTTTGAGATTTCCCTTTTTGGCTGACTGACCCTAGAACTATACTAATTTTGAGGGGGGAGCGCGCGCTAAAAAAACGCGATTTTTTGGTCAAAATTTTTGAAAAATTGCCTAAAAACACTTTTTTTTGGCAATTTTTCAAAAATTTGGCTGCGGCGCACAAAATTTGGTCAAAATGGGGTCTTCATAGTGATTTGGAAGAGCTCACAAAATCAATTTAGTCGATCTAAAAAAAGTTCGACAAAATTTTCGAAAATGTTTTGAAAATCCCACCCCCCCCCCCCCCTCGAGAAAATCCTAGATCGCCCCTGAACCTAGGTAACACTTTTTTGGAAGAACAAAAGAATTTTTGAGGTCTACCAAAACAGTACAAGATCCCATTTTATCAAAATTATCAATTATCAGCGCCGCCATTTTGGGCATTTATGGAAGGTTTTGACCAGCCCCGCAACGAGCTACACCTGATAACCTTTCGAAGCTTTATTTTTCTTGAGTCAGAAAGTAAAGGTACTCAGAATTAGGTAGAGTGCATTCTATTTTGTGTTCATGTTTAGTCAGGGCGCAACTGTCGACAGTGCCTATCAAGTTAGACGACACCAGTGCCATCAAAGTTCCAGAACTCCCTTGGACCAAGGGTGCAGACTCTTCAGGTCCAACTCTGAAACAGATCATGAAACAGTCTATTCAATCAAGAGAGGGCGAGTCGGATTCATCTCAGACTCAGACGAATGTAGTGACGAACGAGGTCGAAGTATTTGACCCCAGTTTGGGGTTGAACTCTTTTTACGAGTCAGCAGTAACCAGTATCAATGACAATCCGAAAAGCAGTGAAGTTGACATCGACAATCTCAATCGAGGTGGCAGTGTAGATGATGATGGTGCTAATTTGTGCTCACTTCCTCATTCCAAAGAGGTGCCATTTGAACAAGATGAACTAGGCGTGGACGCCGAGTTGCCGTGAGTAATTTGAAGAAAGATAATTTCAGGAAAATCACAAACTTTTCAAAATATTTCCTGTTCCTGCTGGGGCCAATATTTCACTCTAGTCCAGCTCAGAGTATTTATCTGACCCATAAATCTCATCGTTTTTCCAAGCACGTAAAAAAGCAATGTTGACGTCAATAAAAACAGTGTTACAAACTTTGAATAAAGGCTAATGATTTTTAGAAAGCCTTTGCCTCCAATAGGCGCTCGAGTAGCCAGGCCTGCACGTCCAAAAAAGAAACCGCCAACGAAGGCTGCCTTAAACAATCCAGCGGCTCGCTTGAGCTATGTCGAAACAGCTACTTCGCTTGAGGCTACTGCGAACAAACAGAATACACCAAGTGCTATTCACGTGGAGGGTCTCAACCCGGCTCAGAGACGAAGTATTCTCACGGAAGCTGCCGTGAAAGGGTTGGAGGCGAAGGAGAATTTCGGGTCGATCAAGTTGACGAAAATGGAAACGAACAAAGTGAAACATGAAAATCGCTCTTTGAATCCGTATAACAATGCTCCTATGTTGATGATGGTGAAGGGAAGATATCATGTGCAGGTATTGGAATCTTCAATGTTTTTAGTTTGCCATTTTGTTTATGATTACAACTTGAAATAGTGGTTATATCTCACCAATTTTGGCTGTATTGTTGCCAGTTTTTGAAATTTTGCCTTTGGGTATCCTTTTTCTCAAAGATTATTATGGATACCTAGTTGGACAAATCGTGTTTGCTATTTGCAAAGAGATGCTCTATGTGCGTTTTGTAACTGCTACTAAAAATATGACGTTTTTACAATAGCGAGAGCAAGTGTTTTGCAATCGGGTTCTAGACTTTTTCACAGTGAATAATTTAGTGCTCTGGACTCATTCATTACCTTAGGCCTGGCGCTGGTTGAAATCCCAACAGTCCTCTTGACCAACAGAAATATTTGGAGCATGTTTATGTTTTAAAAACCCGTCCAATTCGAAGTTTTATTTTCTTGGCTGTACAGTTGCCGTATTAACCGTACAATCTCCACCCCTAAGTGATATGCCGTAGAAGGCCCTCCCCAAGCATGTAATAATTCTGTATAAAATATGCATACAAACGAACTGGCTTATACATTTTTCATGTGAGATTGCATTTGTATGCTGTTAATTACTCAAATTAATGTTCCATTTCAATTTTTTTTAGTAGTATGGTTAATTTTTGAACGAATCTAGGCTATACGATTTTGTATGATTTTTTTTACATTTGAAAGGTTTTTCGGGTTCGGCTTAGAAGCTGCATGTTGCGTCATTTGTTTGGCAAAATCTTTTCACGCTGGGTATGACTTCCAGTTTGGTGACCAATTTTTTGCAGACCATTGACAGATGTTAAAAGACGCTCAGTGTAAGCCAAGCTTCCTTAATGAAAAGAAATCTCGTATTATGTTAAGAAAATTATCAACCTCAAAAACAGAACAGTCTAAAGTAGCGGCAAAACGGATTTAAGTGCCTAAGAGCACTCGTGTGGAATGTAAGCGTAGAGGAGGAAGCGGTCGCTACTTGAAAATGACGCGGTTGAAGTTAGTGTTCTGACATGCCTATTGTTTTTGAGTCTGCTGAAAGATTGGTCTGCTAAAAACCATTCTGCTAAAATACCTGACACCTTCTATGCTCAGGGGTATCCTTTTTTTGCACATTTTGTCGGTTTAGTTTCCGCTTTTTGATTGTTTTCATAAAGCTAGGTTAACGCCACCAAATGTCTTAATTGATATTTTAAAATCAGTCATCTATGCAAATTGTAATATAAAACTTTTCCGCAACTAGCGCTATGCATGCAGGAATAACTTAAGTTGATAGTATTTTGGATTTTTCTTGGTAGGTACGTCTGGTGGCGCCAACCGTGCGTTCCATGAATGAGTCAGACTGCTTCGTGGTTGTAACCAAGACAGACGTGATGGTATGGAAAGGTCACGTGAGTAACATTGTGGAACAGAATAAAGCGATGGAGTTGGGAAAGTTGATTTGTGACAGGAAACAACTGGGCTGTGAGGCTGATACTTTTGAAGTGATTGAGAGTGGAAAAAATTTGTGTGACGAAAAGGCGCTGAAGAAGAAGTTCCTGAGGATTTTAGCTTCTGCAAATGACAATCAATTGTAAGTTCTATAGTGATGTGCTTTTGTGTTTGCCACTGTGGCTCTTATTACTTATTTTTTCTTTTTTTTTAAATATTTCTCACCAAAAATTTTTGTTGCCTATGATCAGGCGCGGAAAATTAGTATAGATTGTCTTTAGAAAAATTTAAAGGTCAGTCAGCCAAAAATGGACATCTCAAAGTAGTACAAAGGGATGACCCTTTGGGTCGGCAGGGGGTCGAATCCTCCCATTTAAATACGCTACTGCCTATGATGATGAGGTATCATTGCACCGTGAAAAATCAGTTGCGAATAACTCACACTGGAACAAGATTTTGGTGAAACTTAAAGTTTGCTAAGAAATGCAAACCTGTTTTAACACACAGGGGCGGACCTAGGATTTTCTCAAGGGGGGGGCGGATTTTAACAAAAAAAAAGAGAAAAAATTAGCCGACCTTTTTTCGGTCGACCAAATTAACTTTCCGAGCACTCCCAAATAATCAGAAAGACCCCATTTTGACGAAACTTTCTGCACCGCAGTCGAATTTTTGAAACAGACAAAAACAGGTGTTCTGAGGCTTTTTTGGAAAATATTGCCTACAAAATTGTGTTTTTTTTTTGGCGCGCGCTTCTCCCTCAAAATTGGTATATTTTCGGGTCAGTCAGCCAAAAATGGATATCTCAAAGTAGTACAAAGGGATGACGCTTTGGGTCGGCAGGGGGTCGAATCCTCCCATTTAAATACGCTACTGCCTATGATGATGAGGTATCATTGCACCGTGAAAAATCAGTTGCGAATAACTCACGCTAAAGTTTTAATTTCAGCAAAAGTTTCAATTTTCAAGGCTTATTTTCAACTTTTTTTTTCTTATTTCACTTTAAAGAGCTGCTTCGCCTCTGTGTTTCAAATTGGGTTAATTTCATCAAAAATGTCAATCATGAATTGTTTTAGGAAGTCAAAGAGATTTAAGGGCATCTATTTTTTCTACTTGCGTTCATTAGCTCTTTTTCCAACTGTCTGTTGGCTATGTTTGAGGAGGTGTCAATGAACGAATTGAAGACACTTATTTAGGTTGTGTGGCTTTTCAAGTTTTTGAGGTTTAATTAGTTTTCAAGTTTCGTTCAAATTCAGGGAAATTTACGCTCTCCAATTACCAATGCTGAAATGGCGCATAAATACGTTAAAAATTGATAAGTGTAAAAACTGGATTTTAACTAATAGGCTTTCCAGCATAAACAAATTTACTTGTTGACTCAGCTTTCTAATTAACCTTGCATTAAACAAGGGTGTTGGATGAGCCAGGCAAGTTTCCCGTGCGTGTAATTTTTTGAGGGGTAGTTTAATATTTTTCGGCAGTTTTTAAGTTTTTTTTATATATTTTTTTTGGCTTAATGGGCGTTTGCTCAAAAACTTGAAATGCTTTGTTTCCAATTTTATAGCAAATTTTTGTTTGCTCAAAAATTTGTAATGCTTTGTTTCAAATTTTTGAGCAAATTTTCAAACTTTTGTTTCAAATATTTGCCTTAATTTGGCTTTAGTAATGCTGTGTTTATTCTTCTTATTTGTCCTGGTTGTTTAAAATGGTTGTTATTCAAGACAAAGATATATAAGTTTTGGTAGATCTAGTTTTTCTCGACGTTTTCAAAACTTTTTTCCGACTTAGCTGCTTTCGTCTCATCATATTTGTGGTATGCTCTATTTGTGGTGTATCGGAAATCAAGTGGTGCGCAAAGCTCTGCTCCGCCTCCGTGTGAATCCCCCTCTCCGCAAAAATCTTTGATCCTGAAATATTTGATCATGTGCTCCCCTCCGCAAAATCTTGATCATGTTCCCCTCCGCAAAAATCTTTTTTCAATAGGTTTCCTGCAGATCATGAAAGATTCCTGCAGCTGCGATTAGCAAGCGTTATCAAATCGGAATCTAGATTTTTTTGTTTCGGGTTAGCAACTAGTTCAACAAAATTAGTTAATTCAAATGCTGCTTAATTTCATGAAATTTCAAACAAAACTAATTTATCTAGTAGTGAATAGGTGGGAGTATTTTGGTCATTAATTATTTTTTCTTAAAAAATTGTTTTTTTTTGGATTTGTGGTTCTCGGCCTAGTTTCCGTCGGCTGTCTTTCCATTTTTTAAACGGCATTTTTTTCCTCTGTTACTATTCTTCATCGGCCTGCTTTGTGAAGCATGGATTTTATTTTTACTCTAATTTTTTTAAATCTATTATATATTTAAATGCGGGCTTCACTATCTCGCCATGTTTAAGCTTTTTCAACGTATTATTTTTGCATGTTTAAGCTTTATCGTATATTGCAATGGTTAAGAATTTTTTTTCGATTTTCCAATTTGATTTTAGTGGTTATTTTACCGAGTTTAAATTAAGCAGCCCAATATCGAATTAGGGGTTGCAAATTTGGCCTCCAATTTTGAGTGCCCGAATCATTTTAGTTAACGAGATAAGACGATTTTTGAGATTTTTTCAAAAATTTTCAGAAATTTCAAATAACAAAATAATTTACAAAACTTGAAGTTCCCAACCCTTTAGTTGGGTGCTGTCAGAGTACTCTAAGGAGTTACAAATCTTGCCTCCAAATATGACTGTTCAAATCCTTGTAGTTTTTGAGATATGACGTTTTTTGTGATTTTTCAAAAAACTTATATTAATTTTTTTTTCGCAAAATCTGAAATTACCAACCCTGTACTTGGGTCCTGTCCGAGTATTCTCAAAGATTGCGTATCTTGCCTCGAAATATGACTGCTCAATTCTTAGTAGTTTTCGAGATATGATATTTTTTGTGATTTTTTCAAAAATTTTCAGAAAATTTTATTTAATTTTTTCTCAAAATTTGAATTTCCCAATCTTGTAGTTGGGTGCTGTCAGAGTACTGTAAGGAGTTACAAATCTTGCCTCCAAATATGACAGTTTAAATCTTTGTGGTTTTCGAGATATGACGTTTTTTGTGATTTTTCAAAAAAAAAAATTTCAGAAAACGTATTAATTTTTTTTCGTAAAATCTGAAATTCCCAACCCTGTAGTTGGGTCCTGTCAGAGTAATCTCCAAGATAGCGAATCTTGCCTCCAAGTATGACTGCTCAGTTCTTTGTAGTTTTTGAGATATGACGTTTTTTGTGATTTTTCCAAAAATTTTCTGAAAACTTCAGAAAGTTTAAATTAATTATTTTTTCAAAATTTGAAATTTCCAACGCTATAGTTCTGTATTGTCAGGGTACTTTAAAGAGTTGCAAATCTTGCCACAAGCGACTGCTAAACGCGACTGCTTCAATGCATTTAGCTTCCGAGATCTGACGTTTTTTGACTTTTTCAAAATTTCTCGAAGAACTTATCTACAAAGAAATTCAAAAAATTTGAATATACTAACTTGATGAAGATACAACCTTATTGTCAGCGTACACCCAGGCGTCTCAAATCTTGCCTCTTAATATGAATGCTCAAATCCTTTTAGTTTCCGAGATAAGACGTTTTTTTTTATTTTTTTTTTCGGAAACTTAGGTTTAAAAAAATTCACAAAATTTTGGGATTCCTAACCCTATAATAGGGTGCTCTTAGTGGTTGCAAATCTGGACTCCAAAGTTCTCCAGAGGCCCATTAAGTTTTCGAGATGACGCTTTTAAAATGGGAACTAAAAATGTAAAAGTTCGAAATTACCAACCCTGTAATTGGGTGCAGTCAGAGTACACTAAAAGTTTGCAGATGTTGTTTCCAATATATGCGGTTTTTCATGAGCTGTCGTAAAATTTCGAAGCACCTAAGGTGCGTTAAACGCTAGTATAATTTAAATTTTTGTAATTTGCCATTTTACCAAGTCTGATTTCAATTAAATTTTTGTAAATTTTTTTTTCGCTTAAACGGTTTCGGCTTAGTTGTATCGGCTTAGTCAATTTGATTTGCGTAGATTTGAAGGCCGAAAAAATACTGTTGGACAAAATCAGGCAGTCTGAAAATGTATGGGTTACGGTTTTTTAATTTGTTTTTGAGGCGCTTTCGAATTATTTTTTTTTCGTTTTTGCAAAACTTAGTTTGGTAAAAAACGACAGTTTCGATTTTCAAAAAAAGGATATCAATGAGAAAACTCCTGCTTATCTGTGTGCCTGGATAACTTTCTATTCTCCTTTTTACTTTACCCTACTCTCTACAGCCTTAGAAAAATTCTGGGGGGGAATATTGGGGCGAATATTTGACCCAAATTTTCAAATTTTTTCTCGTTTTCTCAAAAACTACTTAAGCAAATATGGTGTTTTGGGTTCAATTGATATAATTTTTGTGGATAGTTGTTCTGTTAATGCGAATACGCCCATTTTTTTCATACAAAAAGTTATTGCCCTCAAAACAAAATTTTTATACTTTTTTAACCGTTTTTTTTTTTAAATTTTTTTGTCTTTTCTCAAAAACTGCTCTCCCTAAATCTAAAAAAATGGGTTGAATTCAATTAATAGGTTGTGTAAAGCTTCTCTGAATCATTGACTGCGCCTTTTTTCATACACAAAAGTCTCTCGAAAAAGTTATAACGTGATTTTTGTACCGTATTTTAAAACTATTTGACTTCTCTCAAAAATTACCCTCCCAAATCTTGAGCTGATGTGTTCAATCGAAAAAACAGTTTGTGTGAATCTTTTCTGCATAAGCGGATTTTCCCAAAAATTTTTAAACACAAGATATGTTCCTCGAAAAAGTTTTTTTTTTTCGTTTTTGTACCGTTTTGTGAAGCTTTTTGATTTTTCTCGAAAACTACCCAGCTAATTCTTAGGTTAAGTGTTCAATCGAGAAACTCAATTTTTGAAGTTTTCTCTGCTTAAGCTGCGACGTGTTTTTTTGCAGAAAAATGTTATGGATTTCGAAAAGTCGAGTTTTGAATGTTAGACCGTTTTTTTTAGAAACTACCCTATGAAATCTGAGATGAAGGGTTTCATGGAAAGAACCGCTTGCGATACTTTTTTTACAGATGCGGTGACTCCTCAATTTTTTTTTGAAGGAATGTGATATCTCACCTCCTATTGCGCAGAAATTTTTATTCTTAATTGTTTCAGTAGAGAAACAACTAAGGTTTTGGCAAAATCCAATTTTTAAAATTTCCAAAATCAGTTGAAAAATTCTAAAATTATCAGACAGTTTCTTCTAGGTTTAGCTGGGCCGCTAGATATCTTTCATTGGGACCTACGAACATTTTAGTTCGCCTACAATATTTTCTTTCAACATTTTTTTTTAGATTTCGTATTTTTTATGTTCGTGTTGTATCGCAAGTGGTGCGAAGCTCCGCTTCGCCACTGTGTCAAGAATTCACATTTTTCTAGCTTTCCTTTGGATTCATATTTTTCACACCCTACATTCCTGGTAATTTAGATTGTGCTCAACCCTGATAAGCCTATCAGAATAATGTCCTTTTGAACTTTTGAGTTTTTTAAATATTGATGGTAAAATCTAGCCTCTTGTTGCTGTTTTAAGCGAAGAGGAAAGTAGCATGATGAGTGTGTGCGAAGATGTTGAAGCAGAAGACGTGTGGTACGAGGACTGTATCACAGCCACGAATAAAGTCTATGAAGTGGACACTACGAACAACAATGCGGCCCTGTTTCTTCTCTTAGATAGCAGCTGCACCTCCCTTTCACATAGTCTACTGCAGGATTGTCAATTTTTTAAAAAACACATAATCTGAGATAAATCTAAGTTCGTGAAAAGATCTCTGAAATAACTTTTCTGGAAAATCCGGCTAGAATCCAAACATTTAATGTTTTTTTTATCACTAAAGAATAAATCAGAATTTATTCCTTGTACATGTATAATTTTTGCTGGAGTTTTCTGCTGTCGGATTTTTAAAAATTTTACAAGCTCAAAATATTACATTTCAAATATGACAATCCTGTTCTGCTGTAGTCGGACAAGAGTCTGGTGTTTGACTTTGGAAGTGAAGTGTATGTGTGGTTCGGAAAAGATGCCACTGTTAGGGACCGTAGCATTGCTCCCCTTCTATTGACCCAACTGGTGGACAAGGGCTATGATTACAGGTCAGTGATGGCTGTTAATCTGAAGTTATTTGGAGAACCTTCCAATTCAGTTCTAAAATCTTACAAAGGAATAAGTGCGAAAATTATTCAGTTCAAAACGGGTTGATTAATTGACAAATTTAGCGCATTCGGCTCTTCGGAAAACAAAAAATGCACCGAACTCCTGAATGCAGTAAAATTTTCAATATGCCCGATATTGTTGCTTATCGACGCCCTGAATTGTTTAGCTTCATTAACTTCCAAAATTAAACTGAAGCTGCATCTTTAATGCAGTTTTAAAAAAAAATCAAACTTTTTGAACTAGATTTATACAGTAAGTGATAATTTCATCATGGTTATTTTAGGAGACAAGATGGAACGCAGGACAAATCAGTCGAATATGTTCTGTGTCCTCTTTACCCGCTTGATGACGACACGCCCCTCTACTCTGAGAAGAGACCGGCCTGGGTGATCTGTGGGAAGGTGAATGAGAATATGGAAACACTTCTGTTCTCCAACAAGTTCGCAGACTGGCCAGAGACTGGATTCATGAAGGAAGTCAGAACGGCTAAGAACTTCACGGTATGAAGTCAGAATTCAGTCAGATCTCAAGTTGACTCGTTTGATGAGACGAAATTATTTTTTGGTCACACTCCAGGCATGAACGATGGTGTTTTTTTTTGCTGTTGTAATTATGCTTGTAATTTTAAATTCAAATTAATTGAAAATCTAGAGCATTTATCTTCGAGGCAAAACACCCAGATGAAAGATTCTCAGCTCTTTAAGGCGAATTGTTGTCGTGCTGCTGAATACAAACTGCATGATTTTGATAGTTTGTCAAAACAAGTAATACTTAATGAAGAAGGAATAGGATGAGAATATACACCTAATATTCCAAAAAAATAATATTCCAAAATAATAGTTCATTGCTATCTTTTACTTAAGTGATGTTTCTGCTGTCAGGACGAGAAGTTTCAGAAGATAGAGTTGAACCCTATCCGGGACTATGACTTCCGGGAGCTGATGAAAGCGCAGGACCCCTTAGAAAATGGGCTGGTTGTAGAGGCAGTCAACGTGGGCAGAGGGGACTACTGGAAGGACCCCATCGAACTCAGGTTGGAAATTGAAGCGGCTTTTTCTTATTTAGACAACCGCCAAACGTGCCTGTGTTATACAGTGAACATTGACTTGACGAGAAAATTTAGGTTTAAAACATCAGTAGCGGGTTTGTGGGGCTGGTGGCGGACAAAGCACACGTCTCCTCGTGGATTCGACCCCCTGACTACCCAAAGGGGACTACCCTTTGGCTCTATTTTAAGGCCTCCATTTTTTGCTGGCTGACCCTATAATTTTTTTGAAGACGCCTTTGGCAGCAACAGTTATTTTTTGAGGGGGAAGAGTGCGCCGAAAAACACGATTTTTGGTTCAAAACTGTCCGAAAAGTCCTTGAAACGCCTTTTTTTAAAAAAAATTCGCCTGCGGTGCAAACAGTTAAGCCAAAACGGTATTTTGACCGCTTTGGAGGAGCTCGGAAAATCAATTTGTTCTATCTAAAACAAAAGGTTGACAAAACTTTAGAAACCCCCCCCCCCCCCCGCCCTCGAGAAAATTCTAATCCACCGCTGTTCAACATGCTAAGTTTTGCTAGAAAACGACTCCATGAACAATTTTGAATAAAATTAAGATATGTGATTTTTTGATAGAAAATTTGCCGACTGAGAAATGCATTTTATGGCATGAATTATGATCCGAGCGGAAAAATGAGTTATTTATATAGTGAAGACACATTAGTCTGCTTTATTCGGTATGAAATCGAAAAGAAGTTGTGATTTGAAAAAAAGAGCTAGTAAAAATTTGTTATTTTTCCTCTCTAGGGTTCCTGTTTTCGTTCAAGCTAGAGTAATAATTTTTTGTAGAGCCCACAAAGTGATCACTACAGGAGTGAAGTGTTGGCCTGTGAGTGGGAGTGAATTGAGGTCGCCTCTAGACGAAACAGTAGACCACGTGGGGCTGTTTAGAGACGATGAAATTTACATTGTCAGGTGGAGCTTCTACACTGAACTCACCGGCATCAGGTCAGCTCCAACTGATAACTTTATAAATATCTGGTAATAAAAATACGAATTGAGCTGGAAGTTAATTCAATTTAAAAAAGCAGCAGATGCAATGCTCACGCACGCAATCTCTGTTCAACTGGTATGCGAAGATATCAATTACATCTGCATCTGGCGTACACCACTGTTAGGACCAAAATTAGCAGCTGAGCAAGTCGGAATTCCAAGCTGATTTTAGAACACTGAAAGGCGTGAAGCAGCGTGAAAATATGACAAAGCAGCCACCTAAGGACGAGAAAGTGGCCTACTTCTTCTGGCAGGGCAAGCGAGCTAGTAAGCTGGACCTGGGAACCTCGGCTCTGAAGGTGGTGGATCTGGACTTGGAGGGTGGAAAACAGATGCGAGTGGCTGAGAGCGAGGAGCCGGCTGCATTCCTCAGACTGTTCAAAGGACATATGCTAGTTCAGAGTTCTGCTGTGTTGGAACGAAATCCAAGTAAGTATGATAAGTTGAGTGTCAATGAACGTAATAATGAACCTTATGGTCATGTTAATTTTCTGTTGTTTTTTTAAATTCAAGTTTAATTTTTTAAAACGAAACTAAATTACGATCTCCAATTGCGAGTGTTCAAATAGCGCAAAACACATGGACGAGTTTCAGTTTCAAAATGGGTATTATTTTACAGAATTTCCAGCGGAATCAAAAACATAAGCGATTGATCCTGTTTTCTTTTTTTTTGGGTTAGCTAAAAGCTGTCAATCATAAAAGATTCTTGAAATAAGTCTAAGTTTTGATTCGGGGTATTTATTTTATTTACACATGTGAACTATGTGTTATATTCCGCATCTACTTTTTTCCTATCTAAATTGCTAACAAAAATTGTTTAGTTTGGCGGCAATGTTGCGGCATAATATGTGCAGTTTAATAGCATGTGGTAAGTGGTCTCCGCTTTATCAGTGGCTAGTGTTTTGGTTTTGGAAACGTTAGTGGCTCTGTTCTGTAGGACAGACTAGTTTGATTATTGAGGCCATTGGTTCGATTCCCGTAGAAGGTAAGTATTTTACAAATAAATTTTTTTTTGTTTTTTCTTTTTTGATTGCTTTTTAAAGCTACTTCTTGGCGTTTTGTCGCTTGTGTTTGCGAAGTGTAACTTTGCCGTGGAGTTTCGTTTTAACACATGCATTTTTAGTCTTAAGAAAATCTCCTATTGATGTCCAAATACTGGTCATGCATTTTTGATTTGTTGTGCAAAGTTCGAGAGTTAGCGGAGTGATTTTATTTTTATATAGGTCGCAATGATTTTTTTTTTCAGGAAAGTTTGTTCAGGCTCAAAATTCTTCGAAAGTTCAGATTTTTTTAAAAATTAATTCAATTTTTTTCAATTTTGTTGCGTTCCTCGACTATTTTCCAACTGTATATTGGCTGTGTTTTTGTTTTTCATTCCTTAAGCATGGTTTATAGGCAGTTTTTTCTGACCCTAAAATTTTTTCACCCTTTTATTCTCAGCAAACTTGACTATGAATTTGCGTTGTGAATAATTGAATTATGTCGTTCTTTGCAAAATGAACAAATTATTGAATCCTTAGGATATTTGCTTAACGGTGGAGTAGATAGAGTCTTTTCGATTTGGTATTGCCCCATGTTTACACTAGCTAGCGTAGTGTTATATTACGAATTAGCTCTTTGAATCCAACTCGCAGTAAAAAATGCTATTTTTGGTGGTAATTTTGCTGCATATCAATGACACTCTAATAGTATCAGGGGCGGATCTAGGATTTTCTCGAGGGGTTGGGCGGATTTTCAAAAATATTTCGAAAATTTTGTCAACCTTTTTTTAGGTAGACCAAATTGATTTTTTGAGCTCTCCCAAAGCACTTGATAGACCCTGTTTTGACCAAATTTTGTGCGCCGCTGGCAAAATTTTGAAAAAAAAACATGCCAAAAATTTGCTTTTAAAGGCTTTTTTTTTTTTGAAATTTTTCACCAAAAAATTGCGCTTTTTCGGCGCGTGCTCCTCCCTCAAAATTAATATATATATTGGCGCCTTTAGAAAAATTTTTATGGTCCATCACCAAAAATGGATATCTCAAAACAATACAAAGGGGGACCCTTTGGATCGACAGTGGATCGAATCCTTGAAGAGAGCGTTCTTCCCCCCTCCGCCAAATCCGCCACTGAATAGTATGTGGAAACGGGATCACATTATACTCGCAACCTCCAAATAAGCGGTTCGATTTCGGTCGACTGGTTTTTTCAGAGCTTATTTTTGCCCCTTTTTCCTTGCTTAGAGCTATTTTTGCCTTTTTCTTGCTTGTGTTCGCCACTTTAAATAAGCTTCGGCTCTGTAAATAATCATTTTTGTCCTATTGCCCGAAAGGTTTATTCAACAAACTAATTTATTATTTCATACAAAACGTTGCATTTGCTATTTTAGCTCGAGCTGAATGGTTTGATTTATTTTTCATTTAATTCGCTTAAAAACTGTGACACTCGGTTTTCTGTATCTTGTCTAAAAATGCACATCTTTAAAGAAATTTCAATGTAAGTTGCTTCTACGAGTTGAGCAGAAGTTAATTCAAAATACAGTACTAATAATATATCATTCAATCTGATCTAATGAATATGACATAGGAATCAAGAGCTGGACAGATTATTAGTAACAGGCAATCTAATTATTTAGATAAGTTGAACATGGGATATTTAGTCGTAAGTTGTTGAAGAGTCTACATCTTCTTGTTTTTTTAAGCTTTGAGACTGTTCTACGTGCAGGGACCATGTGACGAAGAGAGACATCTGATAGAAGTGGAACACATCAAAGACTACTTGCTAAGACCCTACTTGTGCTACGTGGCCTTAAAAATCAACTGGCAGGAGCGAAACTGTTGTTACGTCATAAGAGGACCCTTATGTAATAGTGCCGATGCGGAGTTTGCGAAGCGTGAATCGTCGAACTTTCTGGATAATAGGTCAGAATCTTATACAGTATCTTTTGAGCTCCTCAGAATCTTATGTTTCAGTAATTTTTTGATGTTTTGTATTTGCAAAAAAAAGATGTTTTGTATTTGCAAAAAAAGAATCAAAAACAGCGTTTTTATTGTGGTATTGTTTTTCAGAGCTGGCAGAAAGTTGATTGTTTCATCAACTGAATCGACAATTGTTGAAGAAATGTCTTGGAGTGATCTGAAATCAGCCCCGAAAGAGCTGTGCAGACTTTTGCCTCAGATAAGCAAGGATGAATTTTTTGAGACCCAATCAAATTATCGCAAAAGACTCATTCTTCTCACAAGTGTGACCAGAAAGGCAGGTAGCTTCGCTTTCCAGGAAGTCAACACGCCTTTTCATGAATCAGGGTACCATTGCAGTTTGCCGTTCATACAGACGCAGCTTTATCATCAAATACAGCCAGGTATGAGGATTCAAACTTGACTCGTTGAAAGGGTGCTTGAGTCAATAATATCTAGGATTTTAGGTATTAAATATTCAATTAGTTTATCACCTAAGATGATATGGTCTTGGGTTTTTATAGAACACGAAAGTGACCCAAAACAATGAAGGTCAAGGTGTGAAAGAAAAAGTTGAGCAGAGTTATGAACAATAAAAGGAGTTTTAAGGATAATTTGGACTAAAACAATTTGAATAATTTATAAACCAATGGGGTTACTGACTGTATCCTGGGTTTGATCTGAATACGAACAGACGTATAATTTTAGCATTCCTTCTTTACGACTGTGGCAACTATCTATTCCTCTGGCAGGGACCAGCCAGTGCCAACCACCCCACAGATAGCCAAGGAGCAGTGGACTGGCTGGAACAGAGACGCAGTGTCAATTCATCTCCGGAACACTCTGAACCCCAGGGACGAATCTCACCCGAAAGTCCAGTCGCGGGATCTGTGAACAGACGTTTCATCGCTGAACGAAAGCGGGCCCTGGAGACGGCAAAGAATTATGCCCAAGGTTAAAGCGATGCGAAGAGTCTTTGTGATGAAATTTTAACGTCATCTGCTGAATACCCGTAGTCATAACAAAATTTAAATCATATCATGATCTGAATGTTATGCTCCCACCATTTGATGGTGTTTTAGTTTTTCCTTCTTAAGAGTAATGAACGTAGTGAAGACTCTTATATAGGTCTTGTTGAATTTTTTTTTTGCAAGAAAAGTCTTGAAAGTCTCTAATAACTACAGATGTGCATTCATACATATTGATGCATTTATGAATGCACTTAAGTATAAATGCACTTTTTGAATTCAATTGAAATTCATCTGCTGAAAGTGACGTAAATAGCCTTCTCCAAAAAGGAACGTGGAAATGGCGCAAAAAATGTGAAAGATTTCTAGTTTCGGAAGTGGAATTTAATTTTAAGATTTCCAGCGGAATAAAAACTTTACTTCTTGATTCAGTTTTCTCTAGTTAAGTTCAAATTATCAAAAAAGCGCCAATCGTAATTTGTTGTAGAAATTCGAAGAGCTTAGGGGCATCTATTTTTTTCTTTGAAATTCGAAAGGTGAGATTTTTCAAGAAAGTCAGTGTTTTTTATGTTTACTTGCGTTCATTACTTTTTTCCAATCTTCGACTCGCTTTATGTTTTCCGCGCATGTTTTCCAAATCAGGTACCACAAATAATCATAGGAATAGGTCGATTGGTATCATAATGAAGCCTTTGCAGTTGTGATTCAAACGACATTAAACATGTTGAAAATCATTTTGTCAGTTTCAAGATAATAAGGTGAGCGCGCTGACTTAGAATAGCTTAGTTATGCTTAATTTAAGCCTTAAAAACATAGTTTTACTTGAGTAGAGTCGTTTTTTGGAGTTTTTTAAGCCCCAATTTGGGAATCAAAAACTTCAAAATTCATGCAAGAAAAATTGACAATTTTTAGATTTTTTTTTTCGTTTCTCTAGTCATTTTTCTACAAAAACTGTTTTCTATTTGGGTTATTTTTATATGACCGACGAATATGCCTAAGTTTTGTTAGTTCGTTCAGGTATTTTATCACGCCACGCAGAAAAAAAAACGATACTAATTGGGATATTTTTTTAAGACTGGTCGGAACATTCTGTGCTTATTGCACAGTAATCCGCTAACCTTGTTGGATATTGGCTTGGCACAAAAAGCTGTTTTTAGAATAGATACCAATACAAAATATAGGACCATCAGTTTTGGTCAAGGAACAAGAATACAGCATCAAAGCAACGCAAATTTGGCTTGTTTTAAATCGAAATGAGTTAGTCATGAAATGAACCAAAACTCGTAGCAATGCATATCAAGTTTTCTGATATCGCGAAAGGTTAAGCTCAAAAATCTTTGTGTTGTTTTGTTATCTCGAAGACTGGAAGCGCCGCTGGTGTTACAATTACTTTGTCAATCGGGGGCTTTTTCTGAGATAGACTGCAGACAGTTGCTATTATGTTGTTATTGACGACCACTTAAGAATTTTTGAGTCTTTTTCCATTTTCTGCTCAATTAATCTTCATTTGAGCGACAAGTTAGTTTGTTAGCAGAGCCTTTGGATTGCAGGGTAGAATCGGACAAGATGAATGTGAACAGTGTAAATTTGATAAAACTCCCTGGGAAAAAGACTCTGTCACACTGCTAAATACCTCGATACAATTACAAAGCCTAGATATTTTCGCGATTCAAAAAAAAAACATAACTAATTTTGGGTCTTCTGTACCATTATCGAAGGTATCCTGTGATGGATCGCACGCAAATTGCTCTAATGTTGTGATTGACGGCCACTAATTGAATTTTTGAGTCTTGTTACATTTTCTGCTCAATTTAACTTGCATCTGAGCGACGGAAATACTTTGCGTGTATGTGTTCACTGCGTGAAAAATGATCGTTTTCTCGGGTTATTGATTTAAAGTTACATTTATAGGATTTTTATGGGAACCTTTCTAGGGAATATCATCTTCTCGGTTTCTTTCGGCTTTTTTTTATGAAATCATGGTGGGCGACAAAAGTGGTCTTCTGATTCTGTTGAGATAAACCCTCTTACGGTTGACTCACTTTAAAAAATATTTCCTCAATTATAAGAAAGTTCATGAGATTTTGAAATAATTTTTTGTTTTTACTTTGCTACAGCATATTTAAAATTGGGGTCTGCAACTGAACATTTTGAACATTCTGCTAAAATGTAAGATTCAGTTCGAAAGTCAAAGTCGTCTGGTTTCGTGCTTCTCTGTCCATTTTCAGTTCATTATTGACATTTTTTGATCTTGTCTGCCTGCGAATTGCAGCATTGTCTATGTTTCTTTATGTTTTATTGGTTACATGACAAAAGATCCCTTACCTTAAGATCCCAAACGAGAAGATCCCAGTCAATAAGATACCATTCCAAAAGATACCTCGTTCTAAAATCGCCCACGACATAAGATACCATAATAAAATAACAAAGAACCTGAGAATTGAAAATAAAGCGGTTAATCGATCAAAGCAAAAACAAAGCGTCGGTTAAAATCAAAGAAACGGCAAAATTTTTGCTGCACAAATTTCGAACATAAATGACCTTGCTAATCACTTGGCTTTTAAAATGAAACTCAAACTTCAAAACAGCTTGGACTTCAATTGAACTTGACAAGGATTTCAAATTAATCAAAACCAACTTTGCCAAAATTGGCCTGATTTTCCATCAAGTCGGTACAAAATTGAAATTGAGTTTTTGCAAAATTCTAACGCTTTGAAATCATTTTCATTACGAATCACTTGTCATTCTATTTGATAAAAAATATCAATTCTCAATTTTGATCATGTTTTTTTCGCTAAGCACAATACTCAAAGGGCCGTCAGGCCCCTACCCCCAACCTAGCGTCCCGTAAAAAAGAAAGAGCAATTGCTCTGGGATCAAGCTGCTAGAGACAGCATTTTCGAATGCGAGTCGTAGTATTGCGTTTCGGCTTTCTCCGGGAGGGTGCAAGGAGACGTCTATAAAAAAAATTGATCAAACAAATTTAAATTTAAGAAAAATTAAGCAAAAACTAAAACAAAATTTAATAGGTTAAATGGGCAAGTGAACGGATATAAGACAATAAGTTAGAGTCTGTGTACGAACTTGTTATCTGTTGAACTTTTTCATTCAGATCACGGTATTTCTTCCGGGATAAGTTGATAGTGCCGCTGGATGCCTTCAAAATGTTGAACTTTTGATTGTAGGAATCCAGTTGAATTTTTTCGAGAAACGTATATATTGAAGGATGGCTGCCGTGAAACAAAGCGGTTACACCTGAAAATAGCATCCTTTAATGTCAGTTTCGTAATGAGAAGTAAAAGCACTCAGCGCCGCAATTTCAAAGTCGATCAAAATTCTTTCCGGGGTTACGTCACCGATAAGCGATTTAAGTGCGGTTAGGAATTTGTTATAGGTTGATAAGTGCTTATTGCTGAGCAGAGCGTAGACGCAAGGTGGATAAAACCCGCCAATCTGGATGTGTACAGTGTACAGCTGGTAAAACTGACTGGGGCAAGTTTTGAAAGTACCGTCTACAGGCCAGTTTTGTTGTACAATTTAAGTGCATTGAGGTTCTCAATATCGCCAAAAATTAACGTTCCGTATCTTGTTTTCCGCTATCAAAAAGACAAAATTGCCTAAAACGATCGGGTGTTTCGAAATGACGGTCATCTGTGGCAATAGTGGGCAGGGCTGTCGTTTGTTTACTTCTGTTTAAAGTTCGCGTTAGCGCCGACCGGGAGGGCAAAGACAGTTGGGTTGCTTTTTCGTCCTGCACCAATTGCAAACCAGCTGCGATTATCTGGCTGTTTACTGGATTTAATTGATTCCTAACTGTCTCCTTCATTTGTTGAACTAGTTGCCGAGCTTCTGAGCGTCCTGCGTTGAGCTCATGACTATGCTCGTTGCTCTGTGAGATTATATCGCTCCCAGAAGTGATTAAAGTTTTCGGGCATTTATACGATCTCCATTTGTTGCAGCGCCAGTGTATCGTTGTCTTCGTATCGCGTTTCTTTTGAAATTCATGGCCATCAAGAATAATCAGTGTTTGGCCTTTTTGTGAGGTTCCCCAAGTAAAAGAATTCATTTTTGACTTATCAATGAGTTAAAGAGGGAGATAATGAATGCAGAGTTTATACATTTTCAATTGAGTTGTTCTAATTCAATGCCATATTAACACTAAATTAAACGGTTCCATGACATTCTACCCTATTCCAATCTACCCTGTGCTAATCTACCCTATACTATTCTATCCTACATACCAATCTACCCTATACCAATCTACCCTATACCAATCTACCCTATACCAATCTACCCTATACCATTCTACCCTATAATTAAAGCAATTGAAACTTAACCCATCCTCTTGAAGAATCCGAAACAGTATATTTCCGAACAAATCAAAGAACCATTAACTATGATCAAAGAATAATTGACGCACGTGAACAAAATATCAAAGCAACGTAAAACTTGCTTGTTCAAAATGGAAATAAGTTCAAAGCATGAACGAACAGAAATTTTAATCCAATGTTGCTATAGAAATGCGTTGCGGCTATTTCTTAAACAAACAAAAGTCATATCACATCAAGTCGACATAGCTTAGCGGATAATGCATGTGTTTGAAAGCGGATAATGCATGTGTTTGAAAATCAAAAGTTCCAAAGATCAAATCACCAACAAGTCAAATTTTGAATGAAATTCGAAATTACTGAGGGTTTGACTAGTTGATCACGAAAGGAGGGGTAGACCCCCCAGTACCAGGCCAAGGCGGTACTGGGGGGCGGTGTGAGGGAGAAGGTAAAATTCTTTTGATATTGGCCTCTATTACCTCCCAAAATTTCAGTCCGCTACGGCCACGGGAACCTCAAAAAGTGTACTTTTTTAAGAAATTAATTTGAATTTTTGAAAAATTCATAAAGTTTGATAAAGTAAACAGAGCTAGGAATGTCTTAATTGCGCGAGAGAATACAAATATGTTAAAATAGAATCTTTGTTAAAATTGTTGCAAATGTTTTTCACTTTCTCATTCAATTCCCTGTACTTTTTTCGACTGGGGTTGCTGTTTCCTCCCATTGCTTTCATTATATTGAATTTCTGATTGGCAGCACCCAGTTTGATTTGTTCCAGAAAGCTGTGAACGGATGGGTGGTTTCCTTTAAAGAGAGTAGCAACGCCAAGATGCCAGCCTTCTACAGCATTTGTTGTCCTTATTAACCCAGCAGCTGCTTCTTCGGAATGATTCCAAAGGTTTACTGGAAAGAGAGGTTCGCGAGAATTCCTTCCGATGGTTTCGCCTTTGATGTAGGTGCGCTGGAAGTATGAGGCTACCTCATCAAGTTTTTCAGTCATGTTGTCGTCAAAATCAACTTTGTCAGACACCTTTTCGATTTCCTCAATGACCAAGTCAAAAGCAGCGTTGACCATTTCAACTGGTACAAAACTTAGAGCTGGAATTAAGCGCAATGACAAATTGAGATCGTGATTAGTTTCGTACAGTCGCGTAAAGCCCACTTCGTTTATTTTCCGGTTGAACGCTTGACTTAAATGAAAATAGCAGCCTTTCAGCAACGCTCCGGTATGATGACTAGCGAAAGCGTTCAGTGCTGCACGTTCAAAATCGAGGAGAATGCGGTGAGGCTCGGCGTTTTCGGTGATGGCTGATAACCCTTCAGTAGCTTTTTGTAAGTGTTCTGTTTTGTTGGGCAACAGTGCATAAATGCAGGGGGGTAAAATCCAGCGAGTTGAATGTGGATGGTGTAAAATTGATAAAATTGAATCGGGCAAGCTTTGAACGTTCCATCACACAGCCAAACATCTCGATGTAGTATCAAACTCTGGATATTGTCCCGATCTCCAAAAATCAACACCCTCTCTGGATCTTCAATGCCGCTATCGAAGACGCAAAAATCCTCGTGTTGCTTTGGCACTTCGAAATGTCTGTCGACAATTGGAGGAAATGTGGGTCTATCATTCATCTTCTGTCGATTGAGGGCCCGATTAATCGCCGACCGGCAAGGAAAAGCTAATTGAACTGCTTTTTCTTCGAAGACAGACTGCAGGCCGTTTGCTATAATTATGCTATTGACTGGTACTTGCTGACTTTTTGTGTCCTGTTTCTTTTTCTGCACGAGAAGCCTTGCATCCGAACGACTAGGAAATACTTCGTGCATGTGCTCACTTCTACAGGAAATAAGATAGTTTTCTCGGGTTATTGCTGTCGTTTTGCATTTATGGGACCCCCATCTTGAACACTTCCAGTGAATGTTTCCATTCTTTGTTTCCTGTTTTTTCGTAAACTCGTGGCCACCGATTACAAGCGTTCTCCGATTCTGTTGGGATAGACCCCAAGAAATTTGACTCATTTTGGTAAATATTATTCCAAGGAAAATTGATATAATGACGTAGTTTTGATTTCATTTTTGTACCTGATTTTGAAAATTGGGGATTAAAACTTGTTAATTGAGTCAAATTTCAGATTTTGAGGCTCTAATTGCAATTTAGTCTTTGGAACAATTTCCTTAAGTGAAAGACTCAAATTGAGTCCAAAAGTTTAGACTCAAATGAATTAACACGTGCTGTATCTTTCCGATTCTAATTAGGACTTTGAAAGATTACATTATGGGACCTCATTATGGTATATAGGGCAGATTAGTATAGGGTAGATTAAAATGTGGTAGATTGGAATAGGGTAGATTGTCCTGCCACCAATTAAACACATGTTGGCTCTATGTTAATCCCAACTATGAGTCCAGTTTAAATTTAGTTATCTTAAATTTGCATTGTTTTTTAATTGCGCGAACCTAATTGAGATATCATTACTCTAGATTTATTTCTGCTTACACTTTGATCATGATTTTCGTTCATAATTCATGGGATCTTTTTAATTGGCATGGGATTTTATGGTATGGGCGATTTTTATACAAGGGATCTTTTGGTATGGTATCTTTTGTCATGGGAGCTTTTGGTTTGGTATCTTTTGTCCTGACACCGTTTTATTCATTTATTTCCGAAAGCTGCCCTGATAACATCTTTTGACTAACCGATTATTTTTTGCAGAGAAGAGGATAGAGAGTAGTCGCTGTCTTTACGTGGAAGCAGGACAAGAGCCTCTCAGTTTCAGACTTCTGTTTCCCTGGTGGAATGCAGAACAGACAGGAGCTGATATGGCTGGGGCAAGTATAAAAGCATAGCATACCATTTCATTCCGTTGAATACTATTCACTATAATTTTCATTTTATTATCACGAATGAAAAAATGTCCCCGTTGAGATCAATAAAAGCTTGCGATCATATGAAATTAACGGTTTTTCTTTAAATACATTCAGGTCTTAGACATGTAAATCATTTAAAAATCCATTCAATTTTCCGAATGATTGCTGCGTTTTAACAGCTAATTGTTCCCTGGTCAGATAATTTTTTCTGCCTCTTTCGTGTAGATATTTGTCAAACCATGTATTGCAGGATATATTCATTAAGGTTGAATGCCTTAAAATTTGGCCTCGGGGATTGAAAAATTGCGAAGCGCATTGTGCTATATACCGAAAAATGAGAAGATTATATATCAGATCGTGATATAGATGAACGTCGAGGCAGTAGTAGCAGCACGACAGATCACGGCGTCAAATCCAAATACATTTATTTAGAAGAATGAACCAGTGGTTTGATTACGCTTGCGCTTAACTGACTTCTTGAATTTGGGCAAAAGTAGCCTGGCGATGTTCAGAAGAAGAATGTTGTTATTGGTATCGAGAAACACCAATTTGTAATTGTAGAAGACATGGTAAAGTATTTTCAATAATAATAATAATAAATTTTCGGCCATATTTGTCATTTAGGATGGCACTGTGAGTAGTGGAATGGTGACAATTGAGGAGAAGATGGTTCAGTTGGCCTCTGTCTGCTACTCTCTGGAGGTGCTGAGGAAGAGACCTCTTCCCTCAGATGTGGATCCCCTCAGGATTGAGGACTGTGTCAAGGAAGAAGACTTCGAGGTCAGTGTAAAAACACTTCCGGTATTATTTAGTCAGCTGCGGTGCTTTATGCATATTAACCTCTTGAGACTGTTTTATTTGACTCTACTTTTAATAAAATCATGTTTTCCCCAAATATAACGCTGAAGTTTGGGAAAAGGTAGCCTAGACGGTGGTGTTTAGAAGAAGAATATTGTTTTTGGTTTAGAGGGACACATTTGTAATATTGTAAAACATAGTAAAATAATTATCAACTTTAATAATTATTTAATTAAATAATAATCAAAATTAATTTTCAATAATAATAAATTTTCAGTCATTTAAGATAAGCGAACACTCATTAAGTATATTCATTAATCTCAGCAGTTCTTAGTTCGTGTTGGTGTCCGGACAATAAAATAGTGTAGAGTACAAATTTAAGTTGCTTCATGCCTTGAGTGTAGAGTGACGATTTAAGTGAATTGTTTAATCTTAAATTGGTTAATTAACTTTAATCTTATTTTTTAAGGGATTATTCAAGATGCCGAGAGACAAGTTCGAGTCTCTGCCTCAATGGAGAAAAACTGAGATGAAGAAAAAAGCCAATCTGTTCTGAAGTGAATATGTCTTATGCTATTTTGAATTGAAACAATCTGTTGCCTGTGCGAAAACCAATCAAAAACCATGATCTCTGATTTTTCATGACCAATTTTTGGGTGCCATTATAGATATTGTAAGGTTCATCAAAAAAGGAGTATTTTCTTACCAAGCTACTCGTTGCTTTACTGAAGCTAACAGCCTACTTTCGGGTCATTTTCCACGAAGAATCTCAGCTTTATTCGAAAAGTTACTGAATGAATAAAATGTTCGAAATATGTTCACGGCTGAGCAAGTTATGTACGATGGAAAATGTCTGATCACTATCAACTACTAGCAATATCAATTTATGTTATCATTGGATTGAACTTAACTCTATCTTCCTGACTGCGTTCAATTTAGTTGATCATTTACACCTGACTATTTGATACTGGGATAAATGCTAGTTTTAGAAACTGATCGATATTATGATTTGATAGCTGTTTGATAGCTAAGATGATTATTTTGATACTTGAATCACAGCTGCCTTGATGGCACAATTGCGCTATACTGACCTACAGAAAGGCATTAATTTAGAAATAGATTAACTATGTTAATTTTCTATTACAGATCTTTATTATGATGACAATATTTTGCTTCTGAGATTAAAAATAATAAAAAAAAAGTTGATAAATGCAGCTTTTCTGGATATGATTTGGTAATGACTATCGTTACGTTGAGTCTTCCACTGAAACCAGATAGCAGAACATTCTTAACTTGAAGAGCAGTTTAACGGGGGTTATCGATGTTCTCAATTTGAAACCGTGATGTGTTACTGTTGTGCATGTTCTTCAATTTTGACTTGGACTAAAGTTATGAGAATTTTGTGACATTAAGTGACGACACTTTGTAGGTCATGTAGTTTGGGATATTTTGGGAAGTCCACATATTGGTTCTTGCTTAGTGTTTTTTGGTATGAGAGAGAAAGGCTTGACTACTTCAATGGAACAGCAATTAAGCAAATCCAGAAATCAAGTACTTAAAATAGCTGTAAATTGTGTATCGGCATGGAGTAACCCTAGTGGAAAATGGAGAGGAACTTTGTATTCGGGTGTGGTTTAGTTTTTTCTTTTTGTTTTCCACGCAAAATCAGGTACAACAAATAATCATCAGGGTGAGTTGAGCTTTATCTTATATTTACACAAGCAATGCTTGTGTTATAGTATGAGCTATTTTTTTTTCCAAACTAAGTCGCAGATGTTGTTGCGATAAAATGTTTTCATTTCGAAAGTGTTCAATTTGATCGATAACCAGCTATTAAGTACAGCCAATGCTAAAGATCTTAACACAGACTATGTTTGTTCCGACTTTCGTAACGAAAGTAACGGAATATTTGTGCTCGGGGTGGTTTTTATTTCTTCAGACAAATTTCGACTTTTTAACTAGCCATTTTTGACTGGATTTTTTATATCATTCAAAAAGCATGGTTAGCCTGAGCTTAAATTTGGAAAGATATATCACCTCTGATATTTTTTCGTGAAGTTATGGGTTTTAAAAATTGGTATTTTGGCCAGTTTGGGACAATAAACGAGAGATATATTTCGCGCTATTAACGCGTAAGCAGAGAACTAATCCGTCATAGAATTTGTTCCAAATTGGTTGACGGAAGCTTATTTGCCATTATTGATTTGTTACTAGGAGCGAAATTTATCACTTTGTTTTAAATATGTCGTGTGGGGGGATGATTTTCACTAAATTTCTTAAATTAAATAAAAATCATTTTATGTTTTGTTACATTTAGTTTTTCCATGTTATTACTGCTCCACAAAGTGAGGCATGTTAGTTGGTAGATTTTTCTTTTCTTTTTCAAATTGACTGGTACTGCGTGATAATTGGCGAGTGTCACTTAAGAAAATTTGTAGACTTAAAGTTTTACTGATTCAGTTTTCACAGTAACGTTACTGGTCATATTTACGCTTGTGTATGTGATGTGCAACTTTGCCTCTGTGTAAAGCCCTATCAGTCGCAATTCTAACGACTCAAATATCTTTCAAAACGAAGTTGTCCCATTATCGGAAAACCAGATTTGAAATTTTAGATTTTTCGTCTAATTTTGAGCAAGTAAAGCGAGCGAGCACGCTTACAAAAGCTTATTGGAATAATTTAAAAATTTGAAATCGCTTTATTTAAGCCGTAAAAATTAAGTTTTTTTGAGTATTTTAGTGCCTTTTTTGAATCAAACACTTCAAAAGCTGTAGAATATTTTTGTTATTCTTGTCAGTTTTCCATAGAAATTTTTTTTCCAAATTGCTTTTTTTACTATGAGTCTCGAATTTTCTCAAACTCTAGTTTTTGTTCAGATCCTTTTATCACACAACGCCGAAAGAATACTTTAATTTGAAAAAACTTTTTTTATATTTTTAGGACTATGGTCAGAACATACTGTGCTAATTGCACAGTAACAGATTATCCTTGTTCGACTGTTTTTTCGTTGTAGCCGGTTTAAAGAAAACTGATATAATATTCTTGTGTACCAATTAATTTGCAACAGGTGTAACTCGATTGAAAACGTTTTCATCAGCTTTAGATTTTCTCGTTAAACGGCATGCAAAAACAGGTTAATCTGTAACGTAATTTCCTAGAAGGTTGAAGGGTAACCATTTAGTAGATATACAAGTTCTGTACAGCATCTTTTGGAGAAAAAAAAACATGACATCATAATTTTTGTAAAGGTAGAAAATTAGAAGGGAACGGTAGATGTGAAGGGCAGTTATATAATCCAGCTTCAGACTAATCCATCGATAAACAGATTCGTTGAATTTATCGATGTTCACTAACAAACCATATGGTGACATTGGCAAACTATAGCTGAGACCCTTACCAGTAAAATACATGCCGAGATAAATTTGAAAAATTACGTTTCAGATAAATAGCTTTCAGATAGAAAAAATCACGTTTCTAGGATCAGATAGCTTTTCATTGATTTAACTCCTTGCGTTCTTCTTTCAAGGAAAGAACTCACCGGATTACAAAAATCTTCAAACCCCAAAACTTTGATTTATCGCAGTAAGATATGAGACGCTGTCAAAAGCTATACGAAAATCAAAATCAACAAGTAGATTGGGCTACACTTGACAATTTGTTCGTTTCAGAGCATTCGCCTTACCGCTAAAAGAGGGTGGAAGCTTGGCTTATATGGAAGGTTTTTCATGCGTCTAAAAGTCACTTGGTGGCCGTAAATAGATGCAGATGGTGGCCGTAAATAGATGCATGAACCTAGGTTTATTGCCTAGGTTTGGGAGGATACAGCTGCTGGACTCGAAATTCAAAGTGGTGGGCTTCAAATTCAATTTTAATTGTTTTTTTTTAAATTTGTTTTTTTTTGCACAATTAGTGGTCGAACTGTTTGAAACGAAAATCCATTTTGATTTATTCCTGTAAAATGAAAAATTAACACCTAATGATTTTGTATTATTTTACTTTTAAGAGCAATGAACGTAGTGAAGACTCTCATATAGGTCTTGCTGATTTTTTTTGTTTTTTTTTCAGGAAAAAAATTAAATATTGATGCATTTAGGGATAATGCACTTTTTGGGTTCAATTGAAACTCATCTCCTGAAAGTGACGTACATAGCACTATCCAAATACGAACGTGGAAATGGCGACAAAAACTTGAACGAATTGTAGTTTCCAAAGTGGAATTTATTTTTTAGATTTCCAGCGGAATAAACAATTTACCTATTGATCAAGTTTTCTCAATTTGGGTTCATGTTATCAAAAAAGCGCAATCATAAATTGTTCTGGAAATTTAAAGAGCTTAAAGGGCATCTATTTTTTCTTTGAAATTCGAAAGTTGAGATTTTTTAAGAAAGGTTTGTTTTATATTTACTTGCGTTCATTACTCTTTTCTAAACTTAAGTTGAGATTTTTTTGAGAAAGTCAGTGTTTTTTATATTAACTTGCGTTCATTACTCTTTTCTAAACTTAAGTATTTTTAAAGTTGTTTCAGTCGTATTCCGTTTTCCAAAAATTCAAAAAATTTTCTCAACTAAATTAGAGTCTGGATTGAAATGTAAAATTTTGTCGAGGGTAGAGTCGAGACACTATTTTACCGCATTGTTGTTAAGACTAACTCGTGACAGATGTTAGCAACAGCGCAATAGGCTATCGACAATCTGACGAAAAAGTGGGAGCGCGAAGCTGTCTCGCGAGTTCATTTGTTGGCTTACCCTTTAAATATGGACACAATATTTTTTTTACACCTGGACAAGATATTTTTGTTTTTACACATTAGTTTTTTTGGAAACGATACTTTCTGAACCGGTGGGTGTGGGTGAGTTTTTCGTATCTCTGCCTGGTCAATGCGGTTCGACGCATGAGCTAACTACCTTTGCGACAAACAAGGGTTTTGCAATCGGGTACAAGACTTTTTCACGTTACGAACTTAGTTCAAAGTGTGACTGCGATTGGTGGTCATGTCATCTCTATCTGCACTTGCGTCAACGTACGAACAGACAGTTTTCGAGCATGTCAGCATTTGAAGTGCCCGTTCTGTTCGAATTTTTTTGTTGCACTTCTACCAATTCCGGCTTAGAAGGTTTCCGCTAATAATTAGAGTCCTCTTCTTTAGTCGTTTGACTTAAAAAAAACTTTTTTAGGGAACCTATTTTTTTTATGAGTTCTCTAGTTTTTCCTTTAAAAACTTTTATTCGGCACAACGTATGTCTGCTCAAGAATTGTCGGCTTTGTTCATTTTGATTTTGTTAATTTTTGGTAGATCAATTCTTTTCAAAAAAATATTGGATTAATTTTTTACGGCTTTCATTAACATTTCTGACGGTTAGTTTATCTTGCTAAGTATGTGTTGTATTGCAAGTAGTGCGAAGCTTCGCCTTACCTCAGTTTGTAAACTTGTAAAGGTGCATCTGCTTCAATTCAAAGTTTTCGGATTTTTGTCTGCAATTTATATTATTTGTGATCACATATTTTTTTTCGAGTATTCGTTTCATTTGAAAGTAGTGATAGTCACTCATTTTATATCGCAAGTGAAAAGAAAGTGCACATGAAAAACGGCCTAAATGTCAATGATTTTGAGCAAAAATTGTTTCAAACTGCTTTGAAATTTTTCTTGAACACTAATTTGCGCATGTAATGTTTTGTTTCTGAGATTTTAGTTTGAATCGAAAGTACGGGTTGTAAGAAGCGCCCCTGCATAAGCGGTTACGCCTAAATTTTTTACACAAAAAATAATGGCCCTCGGAAAAGTCGAATTTTCAATTTTTTGACCTTTTTTTAAAAACTTTTCTCGAAGAGTACCCTCTCAAATCGGAGGTTCTGAATTTTGATGGGTAGAACGGGTTGTGGGAGTTTCGCCTGCATAAGCGGTTACGCCCATTTTTTTATACAAAAAGTTTTGATCCTCGGTAAAGTCAAATTCTCGATTTTTTTAAACCGTTTCTGTTTCTTGAAATTTTTACTTCTCTCGAAAACTACCTTCCCAAATCTAATGAACAACGTTTTAAGCATCTTTTAACCTAACAAGCTCTTGTAATCACTTCAATTTTCAAGAAAACTGAAGTAATTGATGAAATTAACAGATTTTGAAGTCATTATATTGGGATTTACTTTTCTTTGCTATAGGTCTGTTTTTGAAATTACCTTTGTCCTTTCGCGTCAATACAAAAATTTCTAAAGTTATCAAACAGGTATTTCCAGCTTTAGCTGGCCTCTAGTTAACATCAGCGGAACATTCTTCTGCTTATTCGAAAATGGAAAGGAAACAAAATTTTGCTTCCTGCGCGTTTAATTAGCAGCGGAGTAAATTCGCAGTAAGATTGACTTGAATTGCAACGAGATTGTCCAAAGACTTTGCAGAACTCAATTTCATATGCGATGCCCTCTTTTTTCAACCTGGCATATTTCGTTCAAAATTAAACTACGAAGAATTCTTTTTTGTTCACATTTGACTATTTCTGCTTTGTTTTACAGATCCAATGAACGTTTCTGACGACAACAATGCGACAATGATGACACGAAAACGCTTAATCAGCTCTAAAAGTGCAGAATCTGTTGTAATAACAGCTGCCAATGGACTCGCTGGTGACCGGTGAGCCATGTGACGGAATCTGCAAGTTTGCATGCTTTTTAAACAACGATTCATTGCATGTCGTTACTATCAAACGAAAATGCCCGTGTAAGGAACCAAAATTGTGCACGATTTACAACGGAGGCTTCCTTTTAAATTCCGATTCTAAATTAATTCACGAGATCGCGCTTGTATGCATGGAAGCGTTCTACAGTCATTGGCGTCAAATTCAAGACGTATTCAACAAATATTCATCCGTCAACAAAGCCCTGAGGTCGTCCAACCTCAATTTACATTCTTCGACTGGAGCTCCTAAAAATAGTACAGATGATACGAGCGAAGAGAGCAATGATTTGAACTCAGTTTTGAATAATTTGAACTCGATTGCGCTGTTAATCTGCGCTGAATGTCAACCATTTACTTCGAAAGTTCCGAACGGATTTCTTGAATTGAATCACGGAGCACAGCGAAACGGCAAAAGCGATGATTCCTTGCATCATACATGCGGGCCCTTGCTATCTGCGCTCATAAAGTATCGAATTCTAGAAAGATGCTCGGAATTTTGCGCGGTTAATGCGGGAAGCAACGCTGACAGTGCCAAAGTGCAGCTGTTGAATATTTACAGAATTCTAGTGAGTCAAGCAAAGCAGCCCATTTTCATTTTTGAAGCTCCCACGAAGGCAATTTTGAATATCATCAGTGAGTGCAGAACGTACAGCTCGCCTAATGTGGAGTGCATCTTACTGAGCTTACTGTACGATTTGAGTTGGCTTTTCAGCAATGAACCGAAAGTTTTCAAATTGTTTTCTCAGTTTTCGCTCAGCCAATCACAGCCGGATCTGTTGCCTTTGAGTATTCTAGTTGTCTACATGTACCGAGACAATGAGCTGGGCGAGCTGGCTCGCAAATCGATCTACCTGATTTTTTCGGCCATCAGTTTGGACTACTCCATGATCAAGTATGTTTCTGAGAAGTCATGCTTTTGTCCAGTGTTAGCTACTGGAATAAGCGGAACTTACTCCTCGCTTCCGACTATTTTACCCCAGAATTATCTCCGCCTACCGGTGTTATATGAATCCGACTGCACAAATGTGCCTTATTTGTCCAATTTCATGCAAGCGGTGCAATTTTGCAATTCTCTGTGCAACATATCACACAAACTTGTCCGCGAGAGCATTGCGGATTTTATTCTGGCCGGGTTTCTCTGTCCGATCATCCTCCCCTCGATCAGTCAGGCGTCGTGTGCCGAAGCTGTGGCTTCGACTGCATATCTAGACTTTTTCCTTCGAACCATTTCCGAAAGTAGCTTAATGCGTTGTGCCGTTAACTTCGTGCTAACCACTAAAGTGGACAGCCAACCTTTGATAAACTTGATAATAAGTCGAATTAACAACCCGGATATTTCTTCTCAACGTGAATCTGTAGCGTCTAGTCTCGAGGATACTACTAGTGTTGGCGATTCAGTGGGTAGTTCAGGTGGTGTCTTGAGTCGAGCTCTGAGTGTAGCCTCGTTATGTTTCATCGCCACCTTAGTTAACCTCAAATCCGAAGATGTTATGCTGGAACTGTTTCTCAGATTCCTTCTTCCATGCGATCATATCTTGACCACTCAAAGACCCTGTCTAGCAGCTCATCAAGCAGACGTGTATGGAAAATCAGTGGAGAAGTTTCTAGCCTTGATTCCATCTGCATGTAGAAAAGCCAGACATAGACCGTTGGTTCTGGTTAAAAATACAGGCAGACCTCCGGTTGTGAATCTAAACGTGCCTGTACAATCTCTAAGTGGATCTGTAAGACTGTCGTCGACTTCTTCTGGAAAAGTGATTCAAAGACTTCAAAGGAACATTTCTGCGCCTCAATCTGCGAGTTTAAGCGTACGAGAGAAAGTGGTCAGTGGAAGCGAAGAAGCTGCATCGTCGGACGTGGATGTCGTGACATTAGCGCAATATGAGACTTCCTATTTCGATTATTTGGCCGACGCAAAAAGCCGAATTGAGGAATGTTATTTTGCATCCACCGATTGGAATTGTAAATACAACACGGGAAAGGAGACAAAACCCAGAACCACTCACGACGCAATGGCCAGAAAGAATTTTCGGCCGTTCAAAATGCAATTGACTAAAAGTATAGAAAACATCCATTTAACAAATGGTAACAGTTCGGCCAAGCGAAACATAACAACGTGGCACGAACATAAGCGCAGTTTGAAAAATATTCCAGCTGAACAGTTTTTCGAAGAATTGGATGTTGAAGAGTTCATGAGGATCAAAGCAGATGTTCACTTAGATGAATGCAATGGAACTCTGGGATCATCATTGATTCGAGAAAAAGAAATGTGTGAAAAAATTGATTCCGTGCTTACTGATTCTTTTGAAGATGTGTTGCAAAATGGTGCTGATGTTGACTCCTACGAAGATGCCAAATTAAGTTCATGTGCCGATATTTCAAATGAGAGACCAAAAAAATTGGCTTTGCTTACATTCGATTCAGCGAACCTTTTGTCCATCGATTCGCCCTTGCCATCTATTGGATCTCCCTCAAATCCACATGTATGTGAAAATCAAATTTACTTGTCAAGCTCGAAAAGTACGCAATCATTTTCAGACGCGCTTAGAAGACAAGACATTGATCTGTCGTCAAGCATGAATAGTGACCGGGGAAACTTTTCCTTGTCTTTAGGCTCTACAGAGGCAAAGAAAACTTTCAAGCAGGGTGTGACCTCTCCTACAAAGTCAATTCCTAATGTTTACATGGGTCCTTGTTTTGCGGCCCTCTTTGCAAAACTGGAGGCGTTTTGCGACAGTGATTTTCATTTGAATCTAGTTTTGACGGGAGTTTTTGCATCCTTAGTGGCCTACCCAATGCCTTTGCTTAAGTCTTATCTTCTAAACCCGAATATGTTATTCCAACCATCTGTCAAAACTCTCTATACAGTTTTGCAGAAACTACGTTCCAAAGTTGACCAATACGCCCAATCCATTGACAACTTCCAGGAGTTGCTCCTAAGAGGTCGCTACTATTTCGCAAATATGGAACGGTTTGAAGATGTAACTCTGGAAGAATATTTTTCCTCTGGATCCAATACAGACTTATCAGAAAGTGGGAGCGCTAAAAACTCATCGGATAAAAAATTCCCAACCTTGATGCTGGACGCTATACTGCGTCGAAGAAAATCGAAGAGCTCAAAGGCCAAAGGTGCGTTAAATCAATCCAGCGAAAACGCTTTGATAGATGACCGATCAAGTCTAGAAGACGCAAACGTAACCGAGGAGACCCGAAATTGCGTAATGGCAGTAATACTTATGGAAGAGTTTGTGAAAGAGTTAGCTGCATTCTGCCAAGAGCATTCTGTGTGCGAAAACAACTAAAAGGGACTCAAAATTGGTTAAAAGAACTCAAAACGAAGCATTTCTTAAATTAAAGTTGCAATAAAATGCAATACCTATTAGTGTAACAGTTTTCAAAGCTTTTTCTGGTACAATTATTAGTTTTTTAAAAATCAATTATCATGTTTTTGGTTTTCTCTTCACTGAATATGATTCTAATTTCTATAACAGAATTTAATTTGTAAATCAAATGTTTTGGATTTCAAAATGAAATTGTAATATTTTATCCAATTCTATGAAAAGCGTAGCTTAGATAAATTAAATATTTAAACACGTTTATATCATAACACATCAGGAATTTTGTATGCGTTTTTAGATTTTTCTGCTTTAGAATTTCATTTAAAAATCTTTAATTCAAATTTTTCAGCCGAAAATTTTTCACTTCACAGTTGATACTGAAAGGAAGACTTTCTTGATTTTTTTCGCTATGTGAATTATAATTAAGTGAAATTATTTGTTATATTATTTACTTCCTTTTTTTCCGGCATTAATGGATTCTTTACATGTGCGTCTTGTAATCGGGAACTAGACTTTTTCTCATTAAAATTTCTTAAAATCTGTAAACAAAAAATTGCGTGTGATGTATTAGTCCAGAGATAATGCGCGTCCTTGAGGTTAAGCTACGGAGTCAAATCCGGCTACATTTTACCGCTTCGTATGTATTCGTTCATTTTAATTTTTTGGTTTAATGGTCGTCGTCGCAAATCTTGTCGGCTTAGTTATCGTCTTATTTTTTTCAAGCGCTCGATTAAATCTGGTTCAAAGATAAGGTTTTTTGATCAGTTTTTGTACTGTTGAGTAATTTCTTTGCCTAATTTTAAAAAAGCCGTATCTACTTTTTCTGTACTTCTAGCAATTTTATTAACTTTTGTCTCTTCGTCCATCGCTTCGACCCTGTCTTTGAATGTATTTTTAAAGCAAATTATTTTCTCAATCTTAAATTATAATTGAAACGAAGATAATAATTTGCCTGCAGTACAGTACAATTAATCCCCTTGCACAATGGGCCATTCGGCTATTTATTTTGTATAGTAATTAGAAGCGACAGGTGTACTTCAAAAATGAGAGAATTCAATTGAAAAAGAGAATTCATTGTTTAATTACAATCTTCTCGAGGCTGAATTCTAACCCTCCCAGAAGTCCTGAAAATTGTTTATAATCCTTTCGGCACGCAATTTTTGACTAAAGCTCTTTCTTAGGAGGCTTTGATCGTTGTTGTTTTTAGCAATCATTTTACAATGCCTTGATTTATTCAATTCAACACTTTTTAAGTAATTCATTGCGGCTCTTTTGAGTCAAGTAAGTGTTAAGGTTGATTCATATAAGATGGATTAAGTAAAAATTTTTCGACCGTTACGCATGTTTTTATATGTAAAAGCTATATTTACGTATTTCAGTTTGAATTCAGACGCAGGTACAAATTACAATTTAGTAATGAATTCACTACGTCAAGGACACTATACAGGCAGGCAGGTTGGCCTAACTAGTAGCACACCATGCCGGTTCCCTTTAAATCCGGAAGGATTTGTAAGAACCTTTAATTAATTAGAAAACAATAGCTCATAGAAATTCCGGTTGTCTCTTAAATATACCACCGATTGTCTCCTGAATATATCGACTTGAAGCTTGCAGAAATTTTCTGAAAGCAGTTTTTTGTGAAAATGCTAGTTTTACCGGCAAAATACCTGCAGCCTTTGATCTTGTTGAGCGATGACGAGTTCAACATCTAACAAACGATTCGGAGATTTTTTTCGTAGCTGGTCAATCATTTCATTTTGTAAAAAAGATTTGACTAAGGAAAAGCTCAAAAACCGTATAATTTTTGTAATCATCAAAAACGTTGCTAATATGACCAAGCTTTCTTTTGAAAAAAAAATGTTCGTAACATTTTTTTATGTGCGAGAACGAGAAGAATTTTACTAAAATAACTTTTTAACCATACTTAAATAACCATCCGCAATCAGACTATATGAAATTATTGGCGTTGCACAAGATTTATAAAACTGTATCTGATATTTTTTTGTGAAAACACATCGGACCCGGTACATTACTCCATTGAGTTTTGCTAATTTTAAGCAAACTTTATCGATATGATCTCTAAAAGTTAGGTCGTCGTCGATTAAAATTTCATCAGTATCAGTATATTCTAAAATATCACCTTTAAGTGCCACCAAACTTTCACTTAATGTCTTTCTACCAAACTGTATCTGTTTTGATTTCGATGAGCTGATTGTTAGTTTATTATGCGCACACCAATCATCCACAGCTTCAATATCGCCTAAGACTGATCGCTGAGGCACACCATATTCAAAATAGCTTTGTTTCAGATTTACCGTCAATCATTTCAACATATTGCATGAGCTCATGTATGATTTCCGCGAAAACTAAATTGTTCTGGTAATAGAAGGTTATCTATTTTTTAAATCATTTTTGAATGTTTATGTCTCTAATTTTGCACCCGTGTTTTATGTTTTTTATCAATCCAAATTTTTTTTCATACTCCGTCCCTCCGATCCTGGGTTTCTTTTTCGTGAATCGGTCAAAACTTTCAACAATTGTTTGAATCAAAACTGATTTTTTCATCAATACTATCACAAAGGAAAATTTTTTCCCTAGGTCTCGATCCGAAATAAAAAGAAGTTTCAGTAAACAGTCATTCTTTCTAAGGAGCGTCATGTCACTAAAAAGAATTTTGTCCATTGTTGGCTGTTTAAGCTAAATTTTGATGTGAGCCATCGTAATGATCAATGATTGAACACTTCAAGGTTTCGAACACTTCACTTGCGAAGTTTCTCTTCTTGCTTCACTCTTCCAGACAATTAAATCGAAAAACAAAAGGCTAGTCCAAAATAAAGTTTTTTGTGATTGGTTAGTAGAAAGTAAGTCAATATTAAAATCCTCAACCAAAAGCACATTTTCTCTCAAATTTTTAAACACGATGAGCATAATGTCTAGAGCATAGATTGAAAATTTCTTATGTTCCTCAACTAATGATACTACTAAATTGTCATGGCTACACTGAAAACCTGCGATTGACTGTTGTAATTTTTTGATAACCCGAAATGATTTACATGTCGATCGAATCTTGATCAGGGAGCCACGTTTCGGAAAGGGCAATAACCTTTGGAAGTTTAATTAGTGAAGCAACAAGAACACTTAGCTGATCATGATGGCTGCGCAATGATTGGATATTTCCGAACAAATTTTGTTCGTCTTTTTGGTTGTTTAAAGTAGGTTTATCCTCCTGGGAGACAAAAATTGAATCCATTAGTTCAAAAACTGTGGCTGATTGTTATAAGTGAACGTTTTCAGTTAATTGCTTTTTGCATAAGATATCAAGTCGATCTCATCATTTTAAGACGCTCCTCCAGAAAATTAGGCTTTCCATTTCTAGTATTTCGAAAATTGTAAAAAAAAAATTGTACGTCCAAAAATTCGTGTTTTTTTTTGTGTGAAACTGAATGAACATAGCTATAACTGGAGGCGGCTCATCTAGGTTTCAGTTAGGGCTCAGTTCATGACAAGCAACCAGTTCAGCAGACGTAATTTCCACTCCCAAAACTACTCTGATAAATTCTTTAACATCCGAAGTAACATTTTTATTTGATAATAATGGCGAATTCCGAAAGATAATAGTATCTTTTGGGGCCTAACAATCGACATCATGAACCTTTTTACGCAAGTAGTGCACTTCATTTTCCAAATCCTGGGTATAATCAGACTAATTTTTGAAAGTATTAGTGATGTTGTACAAAAAAAACTTCTGAGATTTTTGTCCTTATTAAGTTGTTTGAGAATGTCGATTTTGACTTGACCTTCATTTTAGAGCATAAGTTTGAATTGTTTTTGCTGTGAAAGCGAACGTCTGTTTTCTAGAATTGGTTTTTAATTTCAAATTTTATTTGCCGTTGCGAAGAGCGAAGTTTAGCAGTGGCCCAAATACGTAAATTTTACTAGTTCTGGTGTAAACCATATTTGTTTGGCTTGTTACCGTAAAATGGATCAAAATTACGAAAGGCGGTGTATCAGACCGGAGTGTACTTTTTTCAGTTTTTTTTGTGCAAAATTAATTGAGTGGTCCCTTTTTGCGATGGGCTCTTTTTTAATCTCTCTTTTTTTCAAACATGCCGTACAAAACCATTTCATCCACAAAAATTAGCATGCGGTCCTTAAGTTTTGTTCCAGAAATATGATCCTAGTTATCATCAGAGCATAAAAAATTGGATATGAACGGTTGACATGAAACTTTTCACAAATACTCAAACTCTTTCCCCTGGGAAAGCAAGGGTTTTGCAATCAGGTACTAGACTTATTGACTTTTTTCAGTGAATAATTTAGTTCAATGGTCTCATCTAGACTCATCTCTAGCGGCACCTTGTTTCATAATAAATTCAAATTTCATAGCGATCCCGGCCCACAAGCCTGTAGCTAACTAATACGCCTGGGACGGCAAAGTTGTCGCATCTTAGATTAAGTTCGCGCATTTTTTTTTAATGTTGTTTTGTGTTTGATTTACCCCTGCAAATTGTGATTTTACTTACCTTGACTTCGTATTTAACTGTTTTTTGTTTCGCGTAAAAATTTTATTCGGCTCAAGTTTTTTTGGCCTTTTTTATCGACCCAATGATCTAGTTTTGGACCCTTTCAAAGAAAACACCATTTTAACGCTGCAGTCCGCAATTTTTAAGCTGCCTGTATTTTAAGCACTCGGTTTGTTAAAATTTCTTTTTGGCTCAACGGGTTTGGGCTTCTTAACAGCCTCTTTTTGCGTGGTTTGATGCGCGAAAATTTTTTTATGCATCTGTGTGTGTTATGATGGGAAGGAGACCTAAAATTTTTAAAAATATTTTTGAACTGAAAAAAATTCGGAAAATTCTCAGGTATTTTCCGCTTTGTCACCGCGTGGTTCATTTTTTTACGGCATAAGTCTTGGTTCCAATTTTAAGGCTGCTGTACGGCTTTTTGATATCATGTGCTTTGACATTCGATTACTATTGAGTTAACATAGCTGACGTATTTTTAATTCATCAAATTAATCGAAAAATTCTATTCGTTTCAAACAAAAGTACAATATTAAAACCTGCATTTCAGAAATTTTCCGACTCAATATACCTTGCACTTTTTTGGATCTGCATAATTTATTTAAAGATTGGCTTTATGCTTCCCAATTTATTACATGCAAAGTTTTTGTGGATGTCTTTATATTATTTCTATTCCAATTTGTAACTGGCTAAATTGTGTCTATTTATCTATTATATTTGATATGACTTTAGCTGAAAAGCATTGGCATTTTCTTTGCATATTTAGCTGCTTTATTGATGGCTAGTGCTTGTAAGTTTTCGAGGGCTCGTGGTGCTCATATGAGTACGTGCGACTATAAATCTCCTTGTAGTAGGTTCAAATCCGCTACAGCAAAAATTTTCATTGTCAAGGCTTGTTGTTTTCTTTTCTTATTTCATTGTACAGCTTATTTTTGAAGTTTTTGACTTTGTGTTTGCAAATCGCAGCTTTGCTACCATGTTACTTTTGTGATAGCCGTTTCATATCTGTTCAACAGTCTTTCAATTTTGTCCACTGTAGATCTCTTATAAGTGTTGTACAATACATTTGCGGTAAAGAAAATAATTAAATGTTTCATGAAGAGTTGAGCGCTAAGTAATTTTTGGAATGTTAATGTCATCAAATATTAATTTTTCGGTTTTATATTAAACAATTTTTGGCTAAACTTGTCGGCTTTCATGCTAACTGTTGTTTTTTCAATATTTGCAATTGCGAGAGCAAGTGTCTTGTAATCGAGAATTAGACTTTTTTTTACCGCAAACAACCTGTTTTACCAATTTTCAACTTGCTTTATGATTGAATCTTAACAACTTCCAGTTTGCTTTCCACTGGGCCTAAAGGTAACGCTGTCGCCTTTGCACCCTATGGTCTGGGTTTTGAGTCTCGGCAGTAACTTGTTTTTTTTCTGTTCAATATGCATGCAATTGATTTTTTTCCGGTAAAAGTTGAATGGTCGGACTATCGTTTGTCTACTCAAGTTTTGTCTGTACTGTAAGCAACTCTCATTGCAGTTGCAATTGCTGCTCATTGTAGTTTCAGGGGGACTTGTAACTTTTAAAATATATATAATTAATTTTTTTTTGGCTGAACTTGTGTCTGCTCGAAGACCGCCGGCTTTGTTTTCTCATCGTAAGTTTTGTTCCGTTCTAGTTTTATATTCAAATGCCTGGCACTTTTGTCTAAAATGAACTAACTTTTTTTGAGTAATGCGAAATTTCTCCTTAATGTTTAGTTAACGTTTCACTGTCTGTTGTTAGTTGACACAATCTCAGTACCTTTCGAATGCTTCCAAATTTTGTCGATTGTTTTCAAATTCATTCGACAGATTTTTTTCAGTTGCTATTTTATATTTCTATTTTCTTTGTTTTGATACTATTAAACTTCTATAGTCAATAATGTGTGTGGACAGTTTACACCATATGTTTTATGTCAAAATTATCAAAAATATGCCTGAAAATTTTGGATTTTTTCCGAATTCTTCATTTTTGTGTCGATTTTTGTGGATTTTATCAACGGTATTTGTCATAAAATTTGGTGCTTTTTTAGGATGTCAATTGTTTGTTTCTTAATTGGTTTTTTAGTTTTGAAAATTTTTGATTGATTTTCCAATTTATCGTAGTGTTTTCAAAAACTATTTTGAAATTGTTTGTTTTTTATGTTTCGCAAGTGGTTCGAAGCTCCGCTCGGCGTCAGTGTGAAAATTTCTGATTTAATTTTTACCAATTCAACAGGTCCTTTTCTCGAAAAAGAATGACCGAGCGAGACCACTAAAAAGAGTGACCAATTCAATTCAGATCGGAGCTATCTGTGATTTTTGCCCGGTGGCTGTTGTGTTTCTGAAATCTCATCAACAAAACACCTATCCCTCGGCGGACCTTGGATTTCTTATAGATAGTTCAGGAAAAATTATAGGCGCTGAATTTGATATCATGTCAGAATTTTTTGGTTTTTAAGGTGTAAACATATACGATATAAACGTCGAGCATGATATATTGGCTCGTGGGTTATTTTTACAGGAAACTGAATGGTATTCTTTCTTCTATAATTTAATTTCAAAAAATGGTTTATATGGTGGAATTCTTAGACTCTGGAAGCAGTAGACTCTGGAAATTGACTGTTCAAATCCCGCCGGCGGCAATTTTGGTATGAAAAACTATATACGTTTTTTTCTTGCATTCTAATTCTTCCTTTTGCTGAGCAGCTTCGCCTTTGTGTGATATCATGTGTAACAACTGTTCACTTCATTAACTTAAAGTTTTCAAAAGCATTTTGATGACATGGGTTTATGTCCGATGCAGCTCGCTTTTTTGATGATGCCGAGTTTTACATAACAGATTTCTGGAGGGGTAGGTTTTCCGAGCTCTCCTAAAACGCTCCAAGACCTTATTTCGAGAAAAAAATTGGCGTGAGAAAAAAATCCTGTTTTTTTCGCTAAATCAATATAATTTAATTTTGTATTTTTCCATTCATTGCTGCTGGAAACAATGTTTAAATAGCAATCTTTTTTCGTTTCATCTTAATAGTAGAAAATGTCTATATACCGAAGAGCTCAAACTGTTTCCCTGACTCAGACTTTTTTAAGAATGTTCAACAAAATATGAATCACGACTGAAAGGACGGACTAAACTTCTGCCCTCGTCGGACGTTTTTTAGGAAAAATTTATTTGCAACTAGATTAAAAAATTTCTGTGTAAGCAGTAGCTGTGACATTTTGTGAGAGTTTATGGTACCATAAAATAAAGGCAACAAAAAACGAATGAAAAACTACTTAATTTTCATTTTCGTCTTTTTTTCGGTTGGATGAACGGAAACGTTTCTTTTTTAGTGATTGAATGGGTCGAATAATCTTAATCTATCCCTGAATCAAAGTATGAGAATAAGATCGCAGCTCTATTGTTCTAATTGGCGATTAACCGATTGGCGCACGCAATACACGCATCTCCAGTGGAAAATTGAAGTGCATATTTAATTCGTAATTTGAAGCCTTGGTATCGAGTTTGAGCCCCTGCGTTTTTTTGCGGTTTTCATTTCAATTTTTATTTTGATATTTCTACTATACTATGCTCTGGATTGCGATCATGACTGGTCAGCAAAAAGACGAATTTCATTTCTTGAAATCTACATAGTTGAAACGAGTTAGTAAAATGTTTTTTTTTTTTTGGAATTTGGAAAATCGGTTAGCTGCTACCAGTCTCTATTTCGGTATTACTTATCTGAGGTCTAAATTTCCTTAACTTAAATTTCCTTGTCCAAATTTCTTCAGACGGTAAGGTTTTCTAAAATTTTGAACTAACTCCATGAGATTCTAAATCGAGTAAGTGTAAATGTAAAAACCGTGAAAATGGATAAAACTTCTGTCTTATTTTTGAAAAAACGAAAAGAAATGTCAATATGCGTAATTCTATATCGTACGGTACAAATGATAATTCGAAGAAACTTTAAAAATCAATTTTCTGCATTTTTTTGTAAAGCGAAGATGAGTTAATCATTAGAAGAGCTACACTGTCTGGTCATCGGGGGTGTCTGGATGGAGAAGTTAGTGTTAGTGAAGCGTCGGCGGAGTGCACTGAGCAGTTCGGGTCCGTCTGGTAGTCGCAGATGGGACGAGAAGGCGACGAATGTGAAGTAAATGACGTCATTAATGAACACCATGCTTCTTAGTCTATGCATGTACCTGCAAATTGTAGCGAGATTTGATTGTTTTTTTTTCGAAGAAACCTTAAGTTTTTTCGGGGATGTACAAATATATTTTAGCTCTCCAGCCAGAAACCTATCATGAGGCTAACTAAACTATGGCTCTTATATAAGAGATTACATGCAAATTGCAGCTCATGTGCGAGTTGAACTTAATATGGTTGCTGGTCATCATCTGAAGCAATGCACCAAAACACCACCAATCGATGACTAAAAGGTCCTGTGTGCTACTTGCACGCAACTGTTTATCAAGCTTTGAATTATCTTACGCGGAAAGTCACGAATATTGAGATTCGAAATTAAAAAAAAATACCTTTTGAAGCCAAAGACATGCTTTTGGAAGTAATTTTGCAAGGCCCTACGAATCGCCGGTGGTAAATTAAGGAACCTGTTGTCGATGTTGAACAGATCTTTGTTCCAACCACTCTCAAAAAAGGCATAAACCCATTCAGTACGGTGGGTTCTTACTGCCGATTTTAATGCCTCAAAGAAAATGGTCTTAGTGATCTGAGTTTTTCAGAGTATTTTACATGGAACACTGAACAGAGCATGAACTTCCAAAACTGAACACAGGCTGAACTTTTTGTGTAATTGTTAAGTATCAATGAACGTAATGGAGATTCTTATAAAGATCGTGGTAATTTTTTTTAAGGAAAAGTCTTGGAAATTTGATCTCTTGCGATTTTACTTTTGATTTTAGTGTAAACTTTATAATTAAATTCTGCGGCATCGTGTTAAGTTGCATGCAATCGTAATGGTTTTGAGTCATTAAGTTCAGTTCAAATTCATTTGCTAAAAAGAGTAAAAAGAATGTGAATTAAGAAAGCGTAAATAGGGCGAAAAAAGGTGAATGACTTTTAGGTTAGATAGTGGATTTCATTTTTTAAATTTTCCAGAGGAAAAAAGATTTTTTTTATCCAGTTTTCTCTAAGTTTTATCAACAAAAGTGTGGATCATGTTTTTGAAATTTACAGAGCTTCAACGTGATATATATTTTTTGATTTTCGAAAGTTTTAGAATTCGTTTTGCTGTTTTACTTGAGTTAATTGACACTTTTCCAACTGTTTGTTGGTAATGTTTGTGTAATTTTCCTAGCGATTTAAGGATTTCATTCCCCTCTCGCTAACTAAGTTTATACAGAATTTTGGGAGAACTTTTTTCATTTTTTATTCTATTTTCAAGTTTCAATAAACAATTAGGCATCGCCAAAAAGTTGTATGCTCTTTGCTCAGCTACTAACTATCCTTGTTGATCTGACCACTCGAATAGTGGAAAGGAACTTTGGATTCGGGTCGGTTTTCAGTCAGCCAGTTTTGACTTCATCAAGGAAGACTCAGAGGGCCTCAAGTGTGGTATCATATTAAAATACTGTTGGTCGTGATTCGGTTTCTTACAAAAATTGAAAAAAAAAATGAAAAACCACTGCTGAAAAACATTCGTCTGAAAATTTTCGAATTTCAGACTATTTTAGACGAAATTTAATCAGACTAAATATGAAGATCAATTTAATTGTGGTATAAGTTTATCATTATTTTAGCTATCGTTATTATTCATCAGTGCAGTTTCTTCATAAGTTATTTTTCATTCTATAATTGAGTTGCGTCGGAACATTCCGTGCTACCTACACAGCAACCTGCTATGCTTGCTTGAATTAGTTTCAATCCTTGTTATTACTTAACACTGTATACCTGGGATGAACTCTCTCGCAGTATCGGTAGAGCAGGAGATATGTGCGAGACAGTTGCACAGTCTCTAGCTCAGAGAAGAAAGCCACGTTGAATTGGATCTGAAACACCAGAAAACTATTTTAAAAATTTTTTAGAAAACGAAATTGTTTTTCTCCTTTTTTCAAAGGCGATTCATATTTTTGAACAATTTGCCTGACAAAAGACGGACAATTTGCCTTTTGGCTACCTCACAAGTTTGTTCGCATTTAACAATGTCTTGGAAACTACTGGCAGCAGCTCGTCACTACTCTTCAAATTTCAATTCCTTGTTTTGTGCAATTCAACCTAGCAGGTAACGTGTGTGTTCTGTAACTTGACTCACATTTCGCAAGAAAGGAAATCAAGTTTATCTAAAATAACCTTTTTTGCCTTTTCAACTAAATTTAAACAGAGACGACTCAATTTGATAACGTTTATTTATCTTCACAGATATCGCCTCAAAATTCTCAGAAGACCCATTACTTATCAAATTTGCGATAGCTTGCCTCGCCAGTTGAAGACCAGTGACTACTTCAAATATCTGCTTAAGATATGCTGCGAAAGATAACTCATTTTTGAGTTGGCGTTGGTTCATTACGTATAACTTTTTTATACGCCACGGGACAAAGTTTCGGAGAAAATCAGAACAAAAATTTGGAATTGCTCAGCTTCAACAAGATCGGTTGAAGCGCGTACAGATCGGGAATGCTGCTTAGGAATTCCGAATTTTTTGCTACTAAATTTTCCAGTTTTTCATTATATATATTTACTAAAAAACTAGAGTAATGGCACACTACAAAACTTATACGCAATGAACCGTATATGTAATGGACTGTTGCCGTTGGAAAGATATTCTTGATGCAATTTATGGAATATATGTTAATTTTCAAAGCTACTACGCTGGTTGTGTTTTTGGCGACAGGTCGTCTCATAATAATGGGAACCGGAAATTCGAACCATAAACAATTGAGTCTAGACGTCGAAAAGTGATTAATTGAGACGAACTACATTGCAAAAAAGTTGGAATTTGAGCTGCCATGTAATTCAAAGGCAGAGATATATTTTCAGTCGAATGTCTGATCTAAAAATTCGGGTTTTCGTCAAATATTGATACCCGCGAAATACTCATGCTGAATGTAAGCGTTTTTTTTCGGCTCAACTTGTGTCTGCTCAATGATTGTCGGCCTTGTTTCCGCTTCATACGTTTTATTCAGTTGCTGTCGTATCTCAATATATTACTACGAGGTTTCTGATGGTTGCTCTGAGTATTACTGAGTTTGTTATTTTCCAGTTGTCGACAGTTGTGTTGTGAGCTGAAGTTAGAGCTAATTCGAAATCATTTTCTAGTTTTGAATCTGGTATGACTGCGCCTGATATTCCATTGTATTGCTTGTCTGTCTCTAGTTTGAACATAATTATCTCCTGTTGTTTCGGCTGTAGTATTGTTTTTTTGTCGACAATAAATGTCAATTTTTGGCGTCTGTAAATTTTTGCGTTTCTTTCCTACTTTAATTTCAATCATATGCAATGTCATTTGTGGGAGTTTTAAAAGATTTCGGCTATGATTTTAAGAAGTCGACCTGATGCCATTTTAACAAATGAAGATGGCATTGATTCTAGTGTGGATACATTATCGCTAAGGATTAAGGGCACCTGCGCATGCACCAGTGTCTATTAGAGCTTTACGGCTGAGATTGTTAGAAAAGATTAAAGGAATATAGTTGAGACTTTTTTTGTCTTCTAAGGTTAAGATTACATTGACTTCTTTTTCTTTTTGTGTATTTTTTGTTTTATTGTTTGTATAAAATTGATTATATATGGACTGTAGATTTGTGTGTGGAGTTAAGAGTTTTTTTGTTGGCTAGGGAAAAGAAACTGGGCTCCTCTCTGTTGGGTCTGGAAATGCATGTAAGGCTAAGTTTTGGAGTTTGACTAAAAACTCTTCTGGTTGTTCCTCTTTATGCTTAAATTTTAAACTTTCTAACTTGAGTTGGTGTAGTTTTCTCAACTTAGGATTACAAAAATGGTTTTTAAGAGCCTGTAAAGTTAAATCTACATCGGCTTTGGTTGATGCATCAAAAGTGTGGAAAAACTGTAAGGCTGAATCTTTCAAGTGTAACTTGAGATAACCTACTTGTTGTGGTCTAGCTACTCCTGTGACGTCTATTATGCTTCTAAATAAAGATTCAAAATCTACCCAGTTTTCTAGTGTTGAACCTCCAAATTTTGTTAGCGAGACTGTTGAATGTGGAATTGGTACTGTGGGCAGAGCAGCGACAGGGGCTGTTGCTTTTGAACTGTGTGCTGTCGATGTGCCTAATGATGTCAACGAAGTTGTCTTAGTTGTTTTTATTGTTGTTCCCGTTGTTGTTGTTGCTGTTGACATTGTTAGCCTATTTTATGCTTTCTTTTCCTACCAATTTTTTTTCTTTTTGATCCTATCAATGTCTTTATATGTGTTTTGTTTTTCGGGTGTTGCTTCATTATCTTTATCAATTTACTGCACAGTATGGATTTGTTAAAGCATTTTAATTAACCTAGACCAACTGTTGTAAGCGTGAAGAGAGAGTAGTGAGAGATGCGCATCTTGAATTGACTTCCTTCAAGTGTTTTAAGCTCGGGAGATGGAAGATTTCTTCAACTAGATCAGTCAGTCAGTTCGTAAGTTGTCAGTTTTTGAAATTCGTGGCCGTCTGCTTTTTGATTTTCTTTCACTGTCTTTTGGTTTCTGAGTTGCCTGTCCTTTCTATCACCATGTCGTATCTCAATATATTACTATGAGGTCTCTGATGGTTGGTCTGAGTATTACTTAATTGGTTATTTAGTCACTTTCCAAATGACGAGGAAAGTTCTATGCCCGAGAGATATATCGGATGTCGTTCACTTCGCAGGGCGGTATTCCTCTTGAAAGCTCAAAGGACAGAGAAAGAAGTTTAGGCAGAGCTTTAAATTTCGAGTCAAGCTGGTCACTCTAGCGGATATCTCTCGAGTGATTTTACAAAGTTTATAAACCAAGAGTATATGTTATTATTTACACTCATCAAATTTATTCAACAAAAGTATCAGCAAAGGTTGGCCACTCTGTTTTTCATCACCAAGCCTTTTTCGGAGTTTATTATTTGAGTTCAAATGTTTACTTCCTGTTTCTTTCGTAATGGTGTTTACTAGTCCCCTCGTTCACAACTTTTTGTTGTCTCACGGGAAATATAGTTCATGGTCGTAAATAACAAATAGGGCCTTGAAGTATTGGGCGAATCTCTTCTGCATAAGCGACTTCGCCCGAATTTTTTATAAACAAAATCTATGATTTTCGAAAATGTCAACTTTGTGATTTGTTGACCGTTTTTTGGACTTGTCTCGATAACTAACCTGCCAAATCTGATATCAATGGACACAACAGTTTGTTGGAAGCTTAATTTAACAATTTGCTACGCATAGTTTCTTCTAGGCTATTCTTTACTTTTTTAGTTGTTGAAATTACGCTTTTCATCCCGCATTGGTATAACAAATTCAAAAATATCAAAAACATACCTCCAGCTTTAGCTGGGCCCTAGGTGTCTTTCATTTTGGTTCACCTAGTGTTTTTCTCTTTTTTTGGAGTTTTCGCCTCTGTTAAAGGTGTCCTTTGAAAAATGAGAAATTTTTGGATTTCTAAGTTCAGGTGTTCTAATGTAAGCTACGCTTCTAATAGTTAAACTGGCTGCTGAATAAATATTTCAGTTTATCGAAATCTTTCCCCTTTCTAATTCATTCCCTCTTTAAAGTGAGCTGGGCTCACCTGAAGTTTATGAGGCATCAATTTGTTTTAGTTAACTGCCTCGCGCTCTCATATATTGTAAACCATCGGTGAAAATATTTCACCTGTGTCTAAACTTTTTCCTTCGGAAGAAAGGATGTTTTACCATTTCGAAATTGTTTATTGCTTTTGTTGACTCATCTAATCAGTGAATTCTCTGCTGATTAATGACAGTATACTGACTTCAAAGTGTAGACTAATTGGTTTCTGAATTCAGCGGCGACCTCGAACTCGCCTATAACCTGGAATCCGTCTGTATCAAATAAATTAATACCCCCCTCCCGCCCCCATTAAAATCTTTTTCCGCACTCGATCGTTTCATTTCATCAAGAGCTTTGTCGTTAGCCATTGTAGCAAGTGTTACTCCAATGCACGAAATGGTTACTATAGACAAATCCCGAGTCTTTTTTTGTTATACAGTCCGAAATTGCCAAATCGCCACATTGAGCGTCTGCTGTTAATGAAAATGGGTCGTTTTGGCTTTTCTTAACTTAATAAAGAATTACGCGGATACTACCGAGTTAATTGATGAGAAATTTATATCAAATGAAGCCTCTTACTCAGCCTAACAAAGTTCTAAAAGGTCAAATAGCCTAACAAAGTTCTGAAAGGTAAAATAGCCAAAAATTTGTATAAGAGAAATAATTTTTGGTTGAGAGCCAAAAAAACTTATTCTTACTACATGAAAATCAAAATCTTTGCTTAAAAACGGTACCCAAAATTTCTGCGCAAATTTTTGGAAGTTTTATCTTTCTAGAATTTTGTTGGGCTGTGTAAAAGGCTTCTTTTGATATCAATTTCTCATCAATTAAATCGGTAGTTTCCGCGTAATTCTTGATTAACAAAAAAGCTAAAACGCCCCATTTTTGGGGTAGAAATTCAGTTGAAATTTTTAAAAATCAGTTGCACCATATTGATTTTGGTGAAACTCTAAGCATCTTAGTCTCTTCACTTTTTATCTTATCTCGACCCAATTTGAGATAAACGAGTTTGAAGTTTTAATTTTTGTCCGGATAATTTAAATCAGCACTGTATTCGGCTCAGCTTTCATTCAAATTCCGTTTTCATTTCAACACTCGTCTAGAGTAAGAAACTTTAAAATTTCAGAATGGAATTTATACTTAAAAGTTTTTCATGCCAAAATTTTTTCTCCCTGAAACCATGTTTTTGAATTTTCATTAAACGCCGTTAAATGTGTTTCTGGACGTGTTTTCTGTAAATAGAAAATCATTCCAGGCATCATTTTGAAGATTTTAGTTGTGCTTTTATTGAAAATTTTTCTGTTTTCTTTGGACTTAGTGACTCTTCTTTCCTTTCCTGTCTGCTAACTTACAATGCTATTTTTGTGGTATCTCAAGTGATGCGAAGCTCCGCTTCGCCTCTATGTACTGACTATTGTTTACTTTACTATAGCCCAATTGTAATAAGCAAAAAGCGCGGATTCAAGATTTTTGCGAAATAAGATTTCCAAAATTTTGTTCAGTTTTCTTTTCTACTAAGTCTGTTTTGAGTTTTCGTCTCCCAAAACACTTGAAAACATAATCTGTATATATTGGCTGGCAGAGAAGGTATTTTCAACGTCATCTGCTCAAAATGCTACTCATAAAAAGTATATCAATCAAACTTCAGCGTGTTTGTTTTGATATTTGCGAACATGTTCAAGAGAACCGTCCTCACCGATTACCTTTTTGAAGGGTCGCTTTAAGCTTTAACTAGGTCCACAATCAAGCCATTGCGTTGCAATCAGAAAACCAGCTCTGAAAGTTGCCTAGGGTGAAAAAATCTTAGAAGGAATTTGTGTGATTCAGAACTGTTTAAAGCACTTGTTTTCTCCAGCAGTATGCCGAGAGTTTCTAAATGCTGTGAACTGGGGAGTATTTCCCCCGGTTGCAAAAGAGGTGAAGTTTGTTACTTTGTATGAAGGTGGTATATGCTCAAACGTTGAGTTATTCATTCATGCGGGTGGCGATTCTTTACTTGGTACCAAGGGGGCTGGGGGAGGGGGGGGGGTAAATACAGACCATAAATTAGGGTATCTTAATCTTAAACCTGTTGGACCCCTTTTGACCTTACCAGTGCCTTGTGGATGTGCTTAAGGATGACCCGGCTGTCCTGATTGGATGCTAGCGACTTCATTAGTCGACTGTTGCCCAGGTAGGGAAGACACTTGAGGTGGCGCACTTTAGGGAAACACTTGACAAGCGACAGGGTCGAACCACTGGCCGAGAAGTGCAGAGTTTCTACGTTGGGAAATGTCTGTTGCTCCAGATTGAGTCTTGCATTGTAGACCAGTGAGTCATCTATGCTGATTTGAAGCGACTTCACTCGGTTGAACAAATTGAGTAGGTTGTCCAGGACCTGTAACAGCAACCTCTCTTATTGATCCGACCAGCAAAATAGATCAACTTAAACAATAAAAGTAATATTTTTTTACTTTATCGGTTGCGTAATTTATCCTACACCTGTTGCTACAATCTAACTGTTGACCCGACTAATTAAACCCTCCTCCTAACTTTTAAAGCTTTAATTCGCCCCATACTTGACTATGCAGCCCCCGCATGGTCCCACGCATCAAGTAACACCTCCATAAATTGCCTGCAGGTTGCCCAAAACCAATCCCTTCGCGTTGTTACTGGATCAAATCTAATGAGTTCAACTGCCCACCTGCACAGTGAATCTGAAATCCTAACGGTCAAAGACCACCATACCCTTCTGTCATCTCAATTTTTTATCTCTACCTATCGTTCCCACCATCCCATTAATTTTATACATTCACATCCCCCTCCTCCCCGTCTACTTCGCCCCTCAATTATAAGCTGCTTCAAAGAAGACATCCAGAAAATTTTAACCGACTTTTCAGTCTACGCAAACCACCCTCTAGTTCTGGACGACCGAGACGAAGTCTCCACTTTTATTTTTAACTACTACAAACCAATTTTAAAAGACAACCATACCTCCCTTGTAACCAAGTTCCTAGCCGAAACCCCTCCGTCTAAAGTTATTTGTATCCCTCCCCCAAAGATTGACCCCTCTGAAAAATCTCTCCCACGTCCCACGCGCTGTAAGCTCTCCCAACTCCGGTCTGGCTACAGCCGGCTCCTTAACACTTACCTATCCCGCCTCGACAGCTCCATCTCCCACCTTTGCCCAACCTGTTCCCTTGCCCCCCACACAACATGTCACCTTTTCAACTGCTCCCAAAACCCCTCCCCACTCACCCCAGCAGACCTGTGGCTTCGGCCGGTAGAGGTTGCTAAGTTCCTTGACCTGGAGACAGAAGAGCCCAACCCGACCCGCGTGGGCTAACAACAACAACAACAACCCGACTAATTACGCTTGCGAATAGCAAGCGTTATCAAACTGGAATATAAACTTTTTTCTAGTTAACAACTAGTTTAACAAAATCAGTTGAATCCGTTAGCTTAGCTGTTAGCCGCAGCCAAAGGTAGCTGGTAGTAACAGAACAGAATGCCTGTCAACAGAATTCTTTTCTGGGCATATGTGCCGTTCAAATGGCAGTTCCATTCGAAATTTTATTATTGGTTGTATTTAGTTTTCTTTTTTTTTTCACTTTTTATTTATCGCTTTTTTCACTTTAAAATTTTTTTCCAGCTTAAATGCTTTCGGCTGATACATATCTGTTTAGCTGCCTATAAATTTGTTTGAAGCACCAAATTTTTTAAATTGGTTTTGTGCTTAAGGAAGGGTAGGTGGGTGGGGCTGGGGTGGTATTTTGGGAATTTTTTTTCGGCTCACCACCAAATTTTGTCTGCTAAGTATCCGCTTAATGAACTTTGTTCTTAATGCTCATTTAACACTGACAGCTGTATTTTTCCTTAAATTTACCCGCATTCTAGACAAACGTTAAAAAAGTTATACTAACCCTGATGTCGGTTCTGTTGGAGAGAGTGTGCACTGAGAGGTGTTTGAGGTGTGTGACCATCTGCATCATTTCACACCCAGGCACCGTCAACACCCATTTGTCTATGTTGTTCACGTCCACTCGCTCCACAGGATTGCCACTCTCTATCACGTTGCGAACGAAGCTGCAAACAAGTTCCTTTACAAACTTAAGTTCAACAGCACAACCCTCAAGTTTAACTTGAAGCTTGAATTACTTTCTTTAATGTTTATTGCACAAGCGAGTGTAGTGTTATATTATTAATTTCTTTTTTTCCCAGCCCAACGCTCAAATAGCAGTGCTTGTTAGTGGAATTTATGGTGCGTAGCATTGGCAATTAAATAGCACTTGTTGTATCAGCTATATTGGTGGCTTGTGTTTGCCGGTTTTCAAGCGATATGGCCCAGATGCGAGGATGTGGGTCTGTTAATCTCCAGCAGCGGGGTTCGACTCCGGTACTTATTGAAAATAAGTGTTAACTGTTATCGCCGTATTGGTTGCTAGTGTTTGCATATTGACAGCAATCATTAATCTCCAGGTCGGGGATCGGTCCCGGCGCAATTTCAAGTTTTAATTTTTTTTGTACCTTTTCTTATTTCATTTTCTACCGTATTATTTTTTCCACCTATTTTCGCAAAATGATCAAAAATTGCTTTGTAATTCAAGTTTGGCATTTTATGCTGTAAAACTGGCCTTTTTCATTTTCAAACAAAAACATACTCCTTTATGATTAATTTGAGAAATAATACAGTTTTTAAAATTGGTTCTGCTTCATAAGAGGCTCACTTTGATGTATTTGCTCATCAATTGACCAGGTGGCTTCAGCGTATTTTTGATTGACGAAAAAGAGCGACAAATGACTCAAATTTGGGGCAACGTTTTGGTTTAGAATTTTGCCACAAAAATTGCACCCTTTTATTCTGACAAAGTTCTAAGCATTTTTTTTTCAGTATATTTCTATTTTTGTCCAAAATTAATATGTTTTGAGAAAAACGCATTTGTTTTTTCAATTTTGTTTTATTCTTTTAAAATCAGCACTGTATATTATCAGCTGAAAACCATTAGCCGAATTCATCAAATAATTGAAAAAAAATTAGGATAAAAAAGGCGAAAAATAAAAAACAAAAGCGGAAGTGAAAAAGTTCTAGAACTAAAAGAAAAACCAAATTTCGAAGTTGAAAAAGGTGGTATTTGAAAAGCAAACATGCTCAAACTATATTTGTTAGCGAGCAGGTCCCCCGAGTAATTGAAGCTTATGATCAAATTTATTTAATGAAAAAAGTCTAAATCCCGGTGGCTATCTCTAGTGTAAAAAATAATTAATAGTCGTGTTCGTGAACGTTTGAAGCTCAGGTTTTGTCTAGAAAAGCCTCTGAATGATTTGGTTTATGCTTTGAAAACTCACTTTTTTAGAATTGATTCAGTGACACCCCCGTCTGAATTAGCTTTGACAGTGATCTCTTTCAAATTCACCAACTCTCTAATCAACACCTCCAGAGCCTCGAAGAAGCCCTTGTACGTGGACACTTTCTGAGCGCCCACTTCGTCTTTGTTCTCATTGGTAAGTTTAGCTTGTTCAATCAGCACCAAAAACTGAAGGTTGGAGAGAAAGGATACTGACTGGAATGAAGTCTCGCGGTAGTTGTGGAAAGAAATGTTCTCAAGATGCAACCGGCATAAATTCTGGAACAAAATACACGAAGGGCTAATAAAAAATCTTAAAAATGCCCTAATTTTTTTTACTTTCCGAAATTTATATGCATATTTGTACAACTGGCTGTTCAGTTCTCACGAAAAAATGACGGAACCCATTTTTTATACTAAGTTGTCTTTTCCTCGAAAAAACAAGCGAGTTGCTTTTCATGCTTTTACCTGGAATAGTTCACACCGAATCCAGGGTATCGGCTGACTCATCAGCCTCCAGTCGTATTCTTTGATGATGAGGGTCTCCAGGTAGCGACATTGTTTTCCGAGAAGAGTGAGAAAGTCCTCCAGCACTAGTTTGTAAGTACTCGCGTACTCGAAGTCGTTTTTGAAGCGTAGCGATACAGTCCTGAGGCAGTTGCGTTTGGAAATGAACGTCCTTTGATGATCTGAAAAACGGAGAAAAAAGGAATTAGGTCATAGTTTGATCAGACTTTGGATAAAAAGTGATCGGGTAATTTGATTAAGTATTTTAGATCAACCAAATTGAATTCGCAATTGAAATCCCCATAGTAGCTAAAAAATAGCGCAGATTTATTCAACAGATGTTAGCGCTGCGAAAAAAATCTAAAAACAAACAAGAATAGCTTGTTATTGTTCAAGTAGCATTGAAAGTTCCGACCAATTGTTGTCGCTAATACAATTTTTTCAAAGAGTTTTCCGATTTTCTTCGAACTTCGCGTTTTATTGATACTACGGGGATACGGAGCTAACTGACACTTCAAAAACTTCGTTCGGCGCTATTAGCCCTAATTACTGTCTAATAGTCTAAAAAATCGTCTCTTTATTAGCCTTTGATGGAGAGTGAATTTGTCAACTCTTTGTTTTTAATTGCAACGAAAAGTAAAACAATTCGAACAATTTTTCATCTGGACTCAGAGAAAGATTTTTCAGAATTTTCAAAGACAGCTCAGATAAAGACCCGAAAAGCTTCAATGTTATTTATCACACGATCTTGTTTAATGTGATTTTAGGGTGGCTAATTTTGTGTGAAAAAAGTACCCGAATACTTCAATGATCGGAACAAAAGGTTCGAAGTGCTTTTTGAAAGCTTGTCAGCAGAAAAGAAAATATATTTTCTTTCAGTATTGGTGTAGTCGGATTAAAAAATGAATTTGCATTCAAATTAATTTGTCAAGTAATCGAAAATGAATAGATGAAGGGCTCGCAAAGTACCCACTTATAATATTCCCTAAGTGATCAAGAAGATCAAAACAGCATTTGATCATATGAAACTAGGCAGATTTAAAAAAAATTAATACCAAAATGAATAAATAACAATTATTCTAGTTTATTCAAGTATAAATCAGTAATGCATCCTATTTTTCGAAATTAGACAACGAAAATACAAAATATATTTATGCCAAGCCCATTTTGGATTGATTTTGAATTATTTTACAGTTTTAGCTGGAAAAAACATATTTTTGGATGGGCACTTAGCACATAGTGGTAAGGCGGTCACTCCGAGATATTCAGGTTGTGTAATCGATCTCTCGTCATAAAAATGATCTCACTTGACCTCAAGCTTAAGGTTTTCCACAGCTGGACCGATTCCGGTTGCAATAGTGGTACTGTGTGAAAGCTGTAGACGCAAAAAAAACGGACTTGAGTCGCAAAAAAAATTTCGCTCGACAAACTAACTCAGTCTGGAATGCGAGGAGATAATTGAGACGGACTATGCTTAGACAGAAACCACCATTCGAACACGAATATGCATCAGCCTGTATCAGATCTCAAATACGAATATGTATCAACCTGTGTTCGGGTATCATTATATGATGAAATTAATGTATGAAGCAAAGTTTTGTCAACAAATGGCTTAAATTAAACAAGAAAAGCTGGTTGCTGTGCATGAAGCATAGAATGTTCCGGCCATATTCTTAAAAACCGCAAAAAAAAATTTCATCTTTTTTAAAATTAGTGTCGTTCTGCGTGGTGATAAAAAGATCTAAACGAAAATTTTGCACCGAGGATTATTCGACAGCCATAATAAAACAGAAAAATTGGACTACTTTTTTCAATAAAAGACTAGAAAAACCAAAAACAAATCAAAAAAGGATAGCTGGCTACTGTGCAAGTAGCACAGAATGTTCCGACCATAGTCTTTTTAAAAACTACATAAAGCTTTTATTTTCAAATTAGTTTTTCTGCGTGGGGTGATAAGAAAGTCTGATGTAAAACTATATTTTAGGCAGTTTTGACATTCATAGTAACACAGGCAAATAAGACCCAAACTTTTTTTAGAAAATTGACAAAAAAAATTCAAAAGATTCCAATTTTTTTCTTCAAGTTTCTTAGCAGAAAATTTTCCAGTTTTTTTGAAGTTTTTGTTTCCCATAATGGAGATACAAAAACTCTAAAATTAATTTTACTTGCCGAAAGTTAAGTTTTTAAGAGTTTAACTGTTAATTTTTTCCTAATTAAGCTGTTGCAAGCCTGCTCGCTTGCTTTATTCGCTCGAATTCAGACGAAAAATTTAAAATTTTTACCCTGTTTTTCCAAACTGGGAAAACTTAATCAATTTTTTTTTAACGTTGTTCGAATCACGACTGAAAGGGCTTTAATATGATATATTACTCAACCCAGTCAGATGACTTATTGTGGTACCTGGTTTTTGCGTGGAAAACAGTAAGAAAAAACTTAAACAATCGAATAAAATACAAAGTTCCTCCCCATTTTCAATGGTCGGAACAAATATTTTCCAAAATGTTTGTTGCAGAATTTTTAGAAGTTTTTCAATCCAAAGCTGGCGCTAAAAAAAAACTTGGAGTAAAACTAAACTTTCAGGGCTTGAGTTACAGTTTCACGGCTTATCCTTTTATATTAAGGATTTTTAAACCAGTTTTTCTCAAAGTCTTAGAATCGTTCAAATTACAACTTCAAGGTTTTAAAGATGAAAAATCACTCGAATCTTTCCGATGGTTACTTGCGGTACTTGATTTTGCGTGGAAAACAAAAAAAATGAAAGAGAACTAGAACACACCCCAATATAAAGTTCCTACCCATTTTCAATGGTCGGAACAAAAAGCATTCAAGAAACTTCGATTTTGCTTACCTAAATTTGAGGATGAAATGTCGATTTGTACGTTTTGGAAGCGACACAAATAAGGATCACTTTCGATAATGAAAGCCCATCGTTTGCATACAAGAGATACCACAGTTAGGAGGTCCCGCCAGGAGCAAAACGAAAAAATACGAGACAAAATGTCATCTGAAAGTTGTGTTATTTCAATGGAGCTCAAACAGCCCTCTGAAGTCGTTGACGTTTTTTCCAAGGACGAGGCGCCGGATTGCAAAGACGCAAACTGGCTTGTAAGTCTGGACGCCTGATATGACCTGGCGACTGGGTCAGCTCCTGGACAATTTAGCCCAGCGCTGGCGACTGTAGTTACGACCTCGTCGCTGCAACTTCGGTTTATGTAAGTCGAGAAATCGGATCCGTCCAGATAGTTCGGGTCTCGGATGATGAATGTGCTTTGACCTTTGCTTGGCATCGTTCGCTGGTTGTCCCAGTCCGGAAACTGACCCTGACCAAAACTCTTGCTGTGGTGAATTAAATTGGACGAATGGTTCATAGAGTAGACAGAAGAGTTAATACTTTTGTCTTCGTCGATCGACCGGTATTTTTGAAGAACATTCGCGTTTTCGTAATCTCCGATATCGTTCTTAGAAATATGCAAAAATGAGTTTTCGTTCATATCTAGGTCCTCGACCACTGCTCTGGGCGCTTCGTTGTCGTCAATAAATAAATACGATGACGTAATATTCGAGTGATCGCTAGTCATCATGGCATTTTCTGCGACTCCATGATTATACAAGTTTTCAGAATTCACAGGCGGCTTATAGCTGTCTAATGTGTCGGGAAAGTTGTGTGAAATCTTGAAGGAGGAATCCATTTTCAACTTTGAAAAGACTTGTTTGTTAAGATCTTTCAGCTCACAGATAAGGAAATTCAACGACAGCTTGACAAACTTCCGTCGATCGGAGTCTGAAAAAAATGGAAAAGTGACAGCGTTTACGGGGTAAACTGGGTAAATAGATTTGATAATAGCAGGTAAGAAAAATTGATAGATAAGCAAAATAGTGACGCGCTTAAAAGTGAGGCAAGCTCACTTTCGTATACAGAAATTGGTGTTGATATTTTATGACGTCAGTTAATTCCGCAATTCTGAAACAAATAAAAAATTTATTAGACCGGGAAAAGTCGGTTCACGTGGCTTATTAGCGAACTTCTTTTGATGTGATGATAAATGCCTTTAAAGAAAGGCATTTCTTTGAAAGAAAACAATAAATTCTACTTGAGAAAAAACTGATCTGAATATTTTAAAATTCTACTACGCCAAATCATATCAAATACTTTAGCTTGGACTTTTCGAATGGACGCAAAACAAATAGAGTTATGGTAAGAAAAAAATGGGAATTTGTAAGCGTTGATTACGCGCTCTGCTAATACGACAAGTTATGGGAACAATAATACCAGCTCTAACCATTTGACGTTTTGACAAAGTGAAGTTTTTTAAGTTGCTATCACCTTATTTGGTTAATTCTTGGAAAAGCAAACGCGAAGATCACAATTTCAACGCAGTAATAAAATAAACCACTTCAGTTTGCCGTATTTAGATTATGTTTGAAATCTAAATTTTAAGACCAACTAACGTTGTTTGGTTTTTCAACTTTTCGGTTAACTTATTTATCTGCTCTTTGTACGTTGCAGTTGAATGATTAAAGTGACCATATGATAATATTTTGTGCCTTTCTTTTTTGCAGCCATTTGAATTTTTTCTGCACCTAAATTGCTAGTTAACCTTAACCTCCTGTTAAGCAGACCTTAAACTGATAAGTTTTCAACCAGGAAGTTATATTACCTGCAAGTTTTACATTTACTTGCTTCAAACGAAGCCAGTTAAAAGGGCAGACATTTTTAAAATAAAGAATAAAAAAAGTTCCATAATATAAAGCGTGAATAAGTGCAGAAAAATAGAGAGTAATTAGATGTGAATTCACACAAATTGCCTTATAACCATTTTTATCTTAGCTTTTAAAGTAACTAACTTAGAAAGCCATTAAAAATCAAATTAAGCTTAAAAAAGACAAATTTTGCTGCAAAGTTGGAAAAATTGTCGATGTAAATAGCAATGAAATCTAGTTGCTTTTTTGAGAAAAAAAAAATTGATTACCAAATTCACTCACGCTCTCGGAGTCCAGGTTTTGTTTATCTTGCACAATTTTGTTTAAATTTGTTTAAATTATGCAACAGTTTTAATTGACAATTTTTTTCCCTGTGTTCATTTCAGCGCGTTAAAGAAACCGATGTTAAAAATTCGAAAAAAATTTAATGAAAAGATTCATGTCTAGTCCGTAAATGTAAAATTTGCAAACAAAATTTCGAAAAAAATAGACAAAAGAATTCTAATAAGCAATTTGAACAGTGACTTTCGGAAGCCAAAACTGAGTTTTGAGCTGAAAGATTTTTCGAAAAGCAAATTATCTGAATTGTCCAGCGTTACAATTAAAGCTAGCCTTGTCTGTCGCTGTAAAATATTCACAGAACGTTCCGACCACAATCAACATTTGGAACTAAATTCAAATCATTGATAAATAATTTCGGTTTTTACCAACAAGTTATTCTCTAATACTTAAAAACCAATAAAAAATTAGGAACCAATGAAGAATTCTTAATATTAAGCATAATTCTTAGACTTAAACAGATGAACAGAAACAGGTAGCTCTCAATTGTGCCGAGACGAGTCTAAACTCGTCTCGGCTGAATTCGCAGCCTGAATGGTAAAGCGGCTGAAATATCTGATTAAAAGACCATCCAGTGCAAATCAGTTTTTTTGCTTCGCTGAGTTAAGTTAGTTGCCTCAGTCAGCTATTGTAATATATCATCGGTTTTTTCCATAAAAAATATTTAACTTCAAAATGTTTTTCTTTTGTGCAGACAGGACTGAAATTCAGCTTCAAAAATAAAGTAAAAAACAAAGTTTAGGAAATTGTAAAAGCACAAAGGAAATTAGCTTTTTAAGTAGGATTGATTTCTTCGATCGTTAAATTAATAAGAAACATTGCAACATTTATATCCGTTTTTTCTTGATACAGAAAATATTTTTTTCTTCGTTTTTTTCCTATTCAAATGAAGACTCAAACAACTTTATTATGATGTCATGCTTGACCTCGTACGAGTTTTTTTGTTTCACGCGGTCAATTTCAGGACAAAAAAACGTAACCTCAGAGGGGAAAAATTGCTGCTATCAGTTAGAACTCTTGAATGCTGCTACAAATTTCCTTTCATGTCGTCTTTAAAGTTTATAACTAGCTGTTTATAAATACAAACAATCAAACAAGACTGCTCGTATCAGGGCGAAGCTCTGAATGTTCCGACTGCTTTTGAAGGTTTATGGAGCAGCAGTAATAACATAAAAACATTATATGAAATAAAATAAAATGAAAATTTTTTTTTCTAAAATTTGAAACTTTTTATGAAAATCATCCCCCCACACGCCATATAACGTACAAAAAGATAGTTTTCGTTCCTTGTAACACATCAATTATGGCAAATAAGCTTCGTTCAACCAATTTGGAACAATTTATATGACAGATTAAATCTCCGCTTACGCGTTAATAGCGCGAATTATATCGCGCGTTAATTGTCCAAAATTGGTCAAAATGGTCAAAATGGCAATCTTTACACCCTCATAACTTAACGAAAATGATCACAGGTGAAATATCTTTTCAAATTTGACCTCAA